CTTCTATTATTCGTTCGACTCCTTCCGAGTCTACGATACGTAGGCGTATAACGTACGCTCCGTAGTAGTAACCTAGTTCTCCGGTAAAGGAGGATGTAGATAGTAATAGCGTATCTACTCTCGCTAGTAAKCCGGCTCGAAGTACGAACTCTCTCGATATAACGTTAATATCGGCTATATCGTCTAGTAGGTAGTCGACCTATATTAGTCCTACCTTCGTTTCGACTACGCCGCGCTAGTAGCGCGCTAGGTATATATCGACCTTACTTAATAGCTTTAGACTTAGAGTTTAAGCTTTTTCTCGGAGTCCTTTGCTTTTTCCGTAACGACTATAGTAACCTTACTCCGCGTATTACTCGGCCCTTAGCCTTCTACGCCGCCGCCTTTAGCCTAATATGTCTTATTAGTATAGCCGGTGCGGCTATAGTTAGAGTACTTTAGGTCTAAATAGGCGCCTTCTTTACGCTTGCGTAAAGGCTACTCGCTACTACGGTTAGACTTAGGTTTACGTTCCTTATTACGATTATAGGTATTCTTACGTAGTCTACTACTACTACGGTTATAGTCCTAAGACTTATAATTRCCGCGCTTAGTACCCGTAAGCTATACGCTCGTACCCTTATCGGCTACTTTAATACGCCTTACTAGCGCTACTATCTCTACCCTTATTATAGGTATAGAGTATAACTTAATAATCTCCTAACGGAGAGCTAGTCTTAGCTTAGCGAGGAACTAACGCACGAGCTACGCTTACGTGTAGTCTAGTTAACTCTTTAGCACTTCTAGTTTAAGGGCGAATTGCTTTACCGTTTAATCCTAGCTCTATCGAACCCTTTCGTACTTAAGCGTAATGCTAAGCGCGCGGTTCGTAGGGTCCCCGACGGTATTACGCACGAACGATTAGAAATCCTCCTACGTATAGCTCGGCGTAAGCGCCTCGATATCGTRCTCGTTATACTACGACTCYGCGGCGTCTCCTCCTAGCTAYATAACGCTATAGAGGACCTTATTATAGTTACTCTCTAGGCTAGTAGTAGTATTAGCGAAGATTATCTTAAGTTAGCGTAGGAATTCGCGTRCCTCTTTAATAGAATCCYYTAAGAATRGTTTAGGATCCTTTATCTTAGGTCTTRCGCCTACTCCGCTACGCGTATACGCTACGCTTAAACTCGAGGTRCTTATAGYATCCGGATCTTCCTTATATAAGAGGCGCGTAGGYACGCYRCGACGGGGTATAGTAGTAGCTACGCCTACGTCGGCGCGGTTAYRATTACGCTTTATTTATTAGACTTCTAACTAAAGTTAGCGAATCGTCTCTTACTACTATAGAGCCTACTTCTCGCCTTCGAGGCGCTAGATTATCTTATTAGCCGTCTCTTCCTTATTACGTTCGTTTTCTCTGTAATCTATCGTGTCTTCGTCTAGAGTAGGCTATATAGGCTCTACGGTAGCGACTTCTTCGACATCTCTATAGTTAGGGAGTTCTTCGACGCGTTCTTCTTCGTAGCGCTACTCGGGAGTAGTCGCTTCGCGGGCGGCGCGCCTAGGGGCTATTCCGTTAGGGTCTAATAGATCGCTACCCTTAGAGAGGAAGAAGAATTAGAATTATAAGGGTAAAGATGTAGTAATGTATTAGACACCCGTAATTACTCGATTAGAGATAAGACTAATTCTTATAGGTTAAAWRTGCGCTATACGTAGGAGTTATATATACGCTAAGCCTACGCTAAGCAGTTAGGTTATATTACACTCCCTTCTCTAAGGTTAGTTAATCTAGCTACCTCTATTAATCCTGTTATTATAAGGGCTCTTATACGGCCCTTACACCGACCCTAAGACTTGCTCCGAGACCTACGAGACTACTTGTCCTTTCCTAAACGCAGACCCTTTAACTAATTATCCGTAGCTATACTCGTAATTATTCCGCGCTTAGGTCGCCGGCGTATGTTCTCTAGTCTACTATTATACGCTTTTAGCCTCTCCTAATAGGCTCTCTTATTAGCTATCCTATCGCTATACTAGTAGGTACTCTTAGTTCCCCGCTAGATATAGTTGCTATAGGCTAAGTTCAAATATCTACGCTAGATTATATAGCGCTGTTCTCGTTAGCGTCGAACACCTTTATACGGGCAGGAAACATACTAGAAATAGCCCTAGGCCTTTAATTATATTGCTATTATAGTCCTTCCGCTCCTTATAATCTCCGTAATACTCCTCCTTAGTTAATATTATTCTACTACGATATTATTAGCTATTATACTTTAACAATTCTCTAATAGGATTATATAGACCGGCTCGTAACTAGAAAGGCGTCGACGTAGTTCGGACGGTCTCGGATATTGTCGATCCTATTAGTAAAGCTATTATAGATCTCGACGTACTTAGTAGTAGGCTTAGCTATTATCTCCCTCTGCTCGCGGTTAAGGGAGAATCCTATTTTCTTAAGCTATTATACGGGTTAGCGCTACTCTTAAAGTGTTAAATTCCTAGCTTATACTCTTATAAAGTTCTACTTAAAATATCCGTATTCGCTAKTATTATCCGGATCCTTAGGGAAAGTTCTAGCCCTCTAGTATTTCGTAGTATCGATATAACCTAGCTATAGATATAGCAACTTAGGCTTCTTCGCCTTCTTAGGCTTTTATACGGGTAGTATAGAGGAGGGAGGAGGATATAGGTAAGTAGTAAAGGGGTAGTATAGTAGTAGGAGTAGTAGGTGTTAATATTAGTATTTAGGTGTTAATAAGAGTCGCTAAAAGAGTAGTAGGTCTTTATCCTGCTGCTCTTTTAGAGATCTTACTTACCTATATAAAGAGTTATGTAGCTGCCCGCGTAATGCTATTATACCTTTACTTTATCCTTACTATTATTACTTAGGTATCGTAGACTATTATTACTTAGGTATCGTAGACTTAAATAAAATTACTTTAAAGAAGGAAAGCGAGGACATTATACGCGCACATTAAATTACGCTACTTGTTACTTATTGTACGGAATACACCTTCAATTACCGAGGTTCTAATACCCTATAATGCTAGCGTCGCACTATCGCCTAAAAGGATTGTTGCAGAGTTGTTCTTAAAAACGCGCYGTAAACGACCTTAATCTCACCTCAGTTCCGACATCCTTATCTTTGACAACCATCATCACCATCAYCATCACCATCATCATTGCAATCTCTTTGAATTTAGAGACATTCCAGCGTTGGACTCGACGTGCAACATACATGTATGCTTTGATTTATCTAACACCCGCGGACTTTTTCTTCACAGCTTGGCTGGCCTCATTAACTGTTGTGCAATACTACGCAACTTGAATTTCTGGACCTTTCCGCTGCCCTGGACACACGTCTACTGTCAGCATTGCTCAAGATTGATGACCGTCTGATTACTCACCGTCATTGGAACGTCCGCAGGCACGCCATCTTCACCGAGCCAGAAAACCTTTGTCGGAGCCTTGTGTCTTCCGAGCGTGAGCCGCGTCCATTCTTGCAGCGATTCGATGCTTGGCCGTTGGGCTCCGTCTCTGCGCTGGAGAAAGGCAACCGGGACCTCCTGATTCGTGTCAGTTGTCACATCTAAGCCGCGACATTATGAGTTTGGAGTCCTCCTACCTGGTATCTAGGATGCGGCAAGCCCACCACAATGGCTTGCTGAACAGCTGGATACTGAACAAGCCGCTCCTCAATCTCCAAAGGATATATGTTTTCCCCACCTCTTATGATGATGTCTTTGAATCTTCCAGTGATGCTGCAATAGCCATACTGGTCGAACACAGCTTCGTCACCAGTGTGTAACCACAGCACGCCATCATCATCTCGGATCATCGCCTCGGCCGTCTTTTCTGGATTCTGCCAGTACCCAACTTGCAACTGGTATCCAGCYATACACAGCTCTCCACGGGTGCCTACCGGAACGATCTTGCCTTCTCGATCAACGATTTTGGCATGGGCGTGCGGCATCGGTGTGCCGACGGTCGTCAGTCGTCGATCAATAGTATCGTACACGGTAGCATTGAAGCATGTTGGGCTGGCTTCGGTCAAACCGTAGGATGACGTAAACTCTGTCATACCAAAGTCGTTGACCAGCAGCTCCATGAGGTGCCGTGGCACTGGAGCTCCCGCGATAATTCCCGTTCGTAATTGACTGCAGTCAAAGTTGGCAGGTCGGGGCAAGCTGAACAAGGTGTCGAACATCGCCGGGACGCCATGCAACGCAGTGCATTTCTCGTCGGTGATGGCTTGGAGCACCGACGGGCCGTCAAAAACCTCGGACGGGTAGACAATGTTCGCTCCGTGTGTGATTGTTGCCAGTAAACCGAGAACCAGGCCAAAGCAGTGGAAAAGCGGAGGTGGACAGCAAAGAATGTCGTTTTCCGTAAGATTCATGCGGTCTCCGATAAATCGGGCATTATTCAACAGTCCATGGTGTGTCAGCATAGCTGCCTTGGGATTCCCAGTCGAACCGCTGGTAAATTGAAGGTTACAAGTCGAGTACGGGCTCAGCCCTTGTTGAATCTTCTTGACAGGGTCTGCAGGTAGCCTTGCGCCGATATTCACCGCAGCACCATATTCGACCAGGCCTTCCAGATTGCCTTCCAGGAGAATGATCTGCTGCAACGCTGGCAGCAGCCCGCTGCTCTGGCAGAATCTCTCAAGCATGGGAGTGTTGTTTTGTCGACCAATCCAAAGCGTGGCGAACAGGATCTTGCACTCTGTCAGGCTGATCAGTTTCGCCTTTTCTCGGGACGTTCACACGACAAACCTGTGTACTTTAACGCATATTCCGCCTCGGAAGTTGTATATGTGTTATTGAGGATCACAAGCACTGCACCAACCCGCATGCAGGCAAAGAACACCGCCGCGTATTCTGCTCTATTTCCTGCTAGAACTGCTACTCTATCCCCAGGTTGGACCCCGCGTGCGTGGAGATATCTGGCAAGCCTTGTGCTCTGCTCTTGCAAGTCGTTGTACGTCCATCTTGTGGAGTTCCATGGAGTCACCAGACATTCGCGATTGCCATATCGATTGCATTGTAGGTCGAGAAAGTCGCCCAATGTCAGAGTCACAAGTGGTGGGTCCGCAGGGCCGTGAAACAGTGATGGCAGACTGATGTGGTCATCCACGAGCTCTGTAATTGTTGACATTGCTGCAGATGTTGCGGAAAGTTCTTGCTACGCTCACAGTGCATCGCATTTGGAGATATTTGACGCACGCGCTACAACGAAGCCTCACACCACGGACGATGCCCGGCCGCCGACTACAGCCGAAGATTTCGTCTTCCACCCACGCGATCGGCACGCACAATAGAGTCTAGGGACGACGTGGAAACTACTCTCAGACTGGTGGGATCGCCTAAATTCGCCGTTGTCTGAGCGAGGGTCGCATATTTGCCGATGTCACCATTCATGGGCATATACATTGTTGGGGCGGGGATTACGTGCTGCATATGGCATCCACAGATCCATCAGTCCTAGCAACGCTGATCGACCCACCATTTTGACCGGACTTGCACGCCCTATTCGCCCGCATGTCCATCTCCACGCGAGCGAAAAGGCTTTGTGTACATGTCACAGCGAGACTTCACCTGCCCGGGGTTCGTATTACAGTGGATGTCGCCGCTGACACTCCACCAGCGTCATTGAAACGCATCAAAAGGATCTTCCAGGGCGTGATAGGCCGGTCTGACAGCGCAGACATGTTGATCGCTGGCGATGCAGCACGCGATACTTTCCGAGACCCACAGTGTCTCCGACCCGGACCCGGACTACTACCCCTGCCTGATTGATAAATCTCGCGTTCGGATCAGATAACGCTAAACAGACATCAGTCCGTGCAGCTCTTGGCGGACCCACATCATGATCAAACGATCAAACGCCCGAGCTCGTCTAGACCTGCCGGCTTGCGACCCTTGCAGTTGAGCTCTGAAAATTATCTGATGGTCAACTAATGCTTGGACAAATCTGCCGTCGCTCGCGGAGTAGCAATGCCGATACTAGCGGAAGAGCGCACAATGATGGCAATCGCGGTGTCGGATCTGTCATGAAGGATAGATCCCAAGTCGTGCTTGGAGGTAGGTCTGTGACTTCATACTGTTGCCAGGACTCTCGCTGCTGTACGTTGAGCGCACTTTCATGGTCATTTCAGACGATATGTCAACCTCTATTTCGGACCGCCGCCCTTCTGCCTTCCCAAGATTAGACACCCTCACCGCAGAAGCACACTCACAGAGACAGCAATCTGTGTATCAATGTCGAAAGTATAGCTATACCGCCAACATCAAAGGGCAACCTCGCGGGAAGACGGGAATCTTGCAAGGGTATTCTCGTTTCATTGCCGCTCTGACGGGCGAGGAGGAGGTGTGCTTTCAATTCGCCCTCCGTAACGACTATGCAGCTGCCTCTTCCAGCCACGAAGTGTTTGCGGCTGAAGTGTTAAAAGATGGCGTTGAGATTACCTCACAGCCGGATGGTGGTGAAGCATTCGACTTCGGCTTGGAGCTTTTGGCAGATCTCGATGACTTTGACTTCATCGATTCCCTTTCCCTCGAATGCGTGAGTGTTGCCTCTACGCTTTCCATCTGGTATTACACTAACGAGCCATACAGCCATTCGTCGTTCAGTATCATGTAGCACAGTTGACTGCAATCATGCACTACGATGCTCGAATTATGGATGCTACTTTTGCGGACGCTGTCTTCGCTGTCCTGATCAAGGAGATTTCGCGGACCAACGATGATGACCAAAGTGTCCCAGAAGAACAGCTCTCTGTAATCAACCACCCACCAGGACTACGTCCAACGCAGCCGGAACGACCAAGATCACTTCATGCCGGTTTCCAAAGAGCTGCAGCGCAATATCCCTCACGCTACGCATTGCACTTCCAGTCCACAGATACATCCCGTTGTATATTCACCTACGGGGAGTTGGACTCACTGTCCTCTGCACTTGCCGTCAAGCTCACAAACTATATCAGCACGTGGAGCAGCCAACCCGTTGTACCGGCCTTCATGGCCAGTTCCCCTGCTTTCTACGTTTCTTGGCTGGCAGTGTTKAAAGCAGGCTTTACATTCTGCCCGCTTCCAATGGACGCCCCTTCGCAGCAGCTGAGGGATATCGTGGAAGAACTTGGCGCTTCATTTGTTCTGACAAACGGCACTCTCCTTGGTGGCTGTCCTTGGGATGCATGGTACTGTGACGACGACGAGCTTGCTACTTGCATCGATGTGGCAGAGTTCATCAAAAACCACAAGCCACATGATGGCCTCGATGTGTCACTCCCGACAGTCTCGGAAAAGGACGTGGCTTATATAATGTACACCAGTGGATCTACTGGCCGGTAAGGATATCTGTATTGGTGTTGATAGCTTTGAACTAATTCATCGCAGACCTAAAGGAGTCATCATCCAGCACCTAGCAGCAGCTGCCTCGATTGCATCACATTCCAAATTCATATCCCCAGCGAWGGTCAAAGACGGTTTCCGATGGTTCCAGTTTGCTGCGCCAACATTCGATCCATCGATTATGGAGATCTTTACTACATGGTGGAATGGAGGCACGCTCTGCGGCGCTCCTCGAGAGATGCTATTAACCGATCCGGAAGCCGTTATCAACAAAACTTCTGCCACAATAATGATGGCAACACCAAGCATGGCTAGTGTTCTGCGGCCAGAGAAGCTTCACGTTCGGCAAATGTGGGTCATGGGCGAGAAGCTTACGCCCAGAGTGATMTCAAACTTTGCCTCGGATTCTCCCCTACATGCCTGTCCCGAAACTCATACGCCCAGTCTACAAAGGCCCTACTTGCTCAGGAATTTCTACGGTCCAACAGAAGCTACAATGACCTGCACCGTCGTCCCGGACTTCTCGGTGAATGAGAGGGGATCTATCATTGGCCGTTCGCTTGACACTTGCTCGATCTTCGTCATCGATCCAAACAGTCGCCAGCCTTCAGTCGTCCCCCTTGGCTTCTCAGGTGAGCTGGCTGTGGGCGGGCCTCAAGTTAGTCAGGGCTATCTCAACCGCATCGACCAAACTGCTGCAGCGTTTGTGTCCAGCTCAAAGTATGGACGACTTTACCGTACCGGGGATCGGGCTCGAATTGTAAGATCGAGAAATGGTGAGCTTTTCGTGGAGTTTCTTGGCAGAATCACGACAGACCAAGTCAAACTCAGCGGTAGACGAGTAGAACTCGGACACATTGAAGCCGTCATTTCTGGTGTTGCTGGAGTCTCTGATGTCGTGGCCATCGTTCATCAAGATGGGGTGGCTGGACAAGGCAGTGAACATGTCGTTGCTTGCATTATTGCRGACCACACTATCGGAGAAGGCCATGTACGGATTGACTGTGAAGCTGCCGCTGAGAAAGGTCTTCCGCAGTACATGCGGCCTGCCAAGTACCTATTCCTGGATGAGATGCCTCGATCTCGAGCCGGGAAAACTGATCGCAAGGCACTCGCCTCCATGGTACGAGAAATGATACCATTATCTCAATCTGAGGACGTGCAAGACCCAGGTGAGGCCGGAGTGGATGACCAGACCAGACCACTGTTCAACACAATCAAGGAAGCYCTCTATGCTGTCTGTAATGTGAGCGTAGGCTCCATTGCTCCGCATACAGACCTTCTGTCTCTTGGACTAGATAGTCTTCGAGCAGTACGCTTCTTGCAGGAGATTCGAGATCGAGGCATCACAAGCCTGACGGTGAACGATGTACTCAAGATAAGGACTCCTATCGGMCTTGCAAACCACTGCCTAGCCAGCGGGCAATCAACCATCGATCCATCAAGATCGGAGCGGACTGTCGACCTAAACTCACGAATTGCTCTTTTCGACACGAAGCACCGCACAGTATGCGCAAGCCAGCTTGGAATATCCCCGAGTGAAATTGAGCAGATTTTGCCAACAACTGCAACACAATCAGGCACGCTTGCAAGCTTTCTCCGAAGTTTGTCGTCTGATCGGAAAAGTTACATCAATCACTCCGTGTACCATCAGGCTCCTGGTCACGATGGCATGCGGGTAGAACAAGCATGGCGTACGACACTCAGCTCATCCAAAATGTTGCGAGCCGTATTTGCTTCGGTAGACGACGAAGTTTCCCCGTTCGCGCAATGTGTGTTGGACTCAGATGCAAGCCGCGCAACCCTTGAATTCAGACGTTACTCATGTGTCGAGGACACTGAAAATGCATGGAACCTTGCTCTGGAGACGGCAAGAGCTGAGGCCGAGGCTGCAATGTCTCTCGATCGTCCTCCGCTCGGTCTCGCTGTTATCTCATCCGCTGGCCGTACTGCATATCTATTGTCTCTATTCCACGGTATTTTCGATGGCGGATCTCTTCAGCTCATTCTCCGAGACGTGGAAGACGCATTTTTCTCTCGGCCACCCGCGCCCCGAACAGAGATTGACGCCGCCGTATATGCACACTTTAGTCAGGCCAGCGAGGAGACTGTCGCATATTGGCAGGCCCAGTTCAAAGACTATGAGCTCAATCCATTCCCTTGCGTGTCGCCCTTGAAGCCMGAATCTCAGAGTCCTGCCGCGCAGGTCACAGAAGTTGTTGGGAATGTCACTTTGGACAAGATTCGCGATGCTTCGAGAGCCATTTCCGTCTCGCCACTGTCTCTCCTCCAGGCGGCCTGGTCTAATATGCTCTTTGCATATACGGGCTCGACCACCGAGATTTCCTTTGGAAGTGTGATATCTGATCGATTGGAGGAGGAGCTAAGCTCATGCATGGGACCTACCTTTGTTGTCGTTCCCTTCAAGTTGGGATTCGCTCAGATCGAGACAAAGACTAGCCGCGAGGTCCTCTCCGCGTTGACCTCCCGCAACGCCGAAGCCTTACCACATCACCACATTCCGCTTAGTTCCCTGGCTACTGCGGATGGCGGTCTACCATATGACACGCTGCTTGCGTTCCAGGCGTTTGATAAGCCTGCCAGCGATGCGTTATGGCAATCGATCGATTATCCAGCCATGGAGAATGACTTTGCTGTCATGATCGAGATATGGCCAACAGAGACCGGACCGCTTCGACTGCGGGCAACATACACGCACAAGCATTTGGATCAGTCGGCTGCTAAGGTAATGTTGCACCAATTCGATGACTTACTCAGCCATCTGTGCAGCGACCCCGATGGAAGCTTCCAGGCTGCTCGCCATGCAGTTCGAAGTGAGCTGCAATCACAGACGCCTATCATTCGCGACCAGTCGATGATAAGCGCCGATCCTGGAGCCGACTTGTACCTTCACCAACCGTTCGAACGACGTGCCGTCGAGCTCCCGGGCAAGCCTGCTCTCGTCTTCAAGCGATCCATGGATGGTTCCGTACCAGACGTGGAATGGTCCTATGGCGAACTCCACTCACTCGCTTCGAGGTTCGCATCCAGGCTGTTGGAAGCATTTGGCCCAGTCCAGAACGAGCCAATCATGATTTGCATGGAGAAGTGTCCGGARCTTTATGTTGCCATACTCGGTATCCTCATCGCCGGCGCCGCATGGTGTCCCATTGATCCCTATTCTCCACCTCTTCGCCAGCGTACTATAATGGAGAGAACAGGTAGCCGAATCCTAGTCAGCTCATCCAAAGCTTCCCAGCTGGATGAAAGTGCAATCCCTGAGGGCGTGTCTTGTCTCACATTGAACATTGCAGACTTACAATCCGACGATTCGAAGTCCACAACGCAGGCTCTTTCAACAACGCGATATCCATCCAGCCTGGCGTATCTGATATTCACCAGCGGGACAACTGGACCTCCCAAGGGAGTCCCAATCACGCATCTCTCAGCTGCTACGGCAATTCAATCACTCGCCGACACCATTCCGTCCGATGTCTCAGGCCAAAACGTCCGTTGCATGCAGTTCTCCCAATATACATTTGATGTGTTTGTGCAAGACGTCTTCTACACATTTGCAGTGGGAGGTACTATCATTTCTAGCACCAGGGAGATCATGCTGCAATCTTTCGCCGATTTGGCGAACGAGACGAAAGCGACGCATGCTCATCTCACACCTGCGTTCGCCGCTACCCTTTCTCGGAACAGCATAGAGACACTCGAGATTGTGACCATGCTCGGTGAAAAGCTCCCCGAGACCATTGCAGAAGAATGGTCCGCCGACATGCGAATATTCAACACCTACGGGCCTGCAGAATCTACGGTCATCTCTACTGTCCGCGAGATCAACGGAAAGACAGATGCACACCCTAGCTCAAACATCGGAATTCCACTTCCATCTGTTGGGGCGTATGTCATCGACGGAGACAATGTGGTCATGCGGGGTGCCATCGGAGAGCTCGCGCTGGCTGGTCCTCAACTATCCTCCGGCTACTGGCACCTTCCTGAAGTCACCGCGAAGAAGTTCGTTTGGAACGAACAGCTCCAGCTGTCACTATATTTGACGGGTGATCTTGTACGTCAAGTCGCAGACGGTACGATCAATTTTATTGGCCGGAACGATGATCTCGTCAAGCTCGGTGGCCAACGAGTAGAGCTGGGAGAGATCGCATTTGCGCTCAAGGGTGCTGATACTCAAATTGATAAAGTCGAGGTGTTGCTCTGCAAGAGAAAGTCGGGCGATGGGCAGAGCGTCGTAGCCTTCCTATCTTGCCCGTCTCTTGGCGATTCTAGTGGGACGGTATCCGCCATAGTCGACGAACCCGCGAAAAAGCTGGCAGACATTACGCAAGAGCATGCACGCGCTGTGCTCCCGCCATTCATGCAGCCCAGCGCATACATTATCTTGAACGGTATCCCTCGAACAGCATCTGCCAAGGTCGACCGTGCAGTACTGACTACCATTTATCATTCTGTTGACTTGGATGAATGGCAACAGAGTTCTCCTGCTGCCACTTCCTCAGCAAACGACCAGGAAGATCGTTGGTTCGAGGAAAACAGAGCTGTGCTTTCCATCATCGCTGCAACACTTGCCATTCCGCCCGAGTCACTTCGCCCAACGATCAAGTTGCCTTCCCTTGGAATTGACTCCATAGCAGCGATTCGACTGGTTCCCAAGATTAACAAGCTAGGCTTCAAGATATCCGTCGTTGATGTTTTCCAATGCAAGACAGTCTCCGACTTGTGCAGCCTCACATCGGTCGACAGAACTGAAAATCACACTGATGAGCATCCTGAGAGCGTTCTCCAAGATTTTCATAGCCAGTACTACAGACAAGTTGCCAAACACCTCTCACTGGATGACATATCGGTCCTTCCAACTACGGTCTTGCAAGAGAGTCTATTGAGCGAGAGTCTGAAAGATCCTGACGCATACTGGAGTAGTCACATGTTCCAACTTCAAGATGGCGTCAATCTTGCCAACCTCAAACGATCGTGGGACAAGGTCACGCGGCGTACGGAGGCACTGCGAGCGGGATTCCTGGCCAAAGCCGCTCTCCACACTGATACCGCCAGTGTTTCCAGTGCTGAGCATGGTTTCCTACAAATCATATATGATGAGCCTCTGGTAGACTGGTCCGAACACACAATCACTGCCAACATCACAGAGGCAGCCCGGAAAAGAGTATCAGAGATCGCTCAATATCACCACGATGCACTGTTCAAGCTTCCACCCTGGGCCGTGGACATCTTCCATCATGACACATCACCTGTTATGATGATCACTGTACATCACTCAATCTACGATGGTCCTAGCTTGGAACATCTGCAGGCTGATCTCATGGCTTATTACGACCGTAGCTCTCAGCCAGCTCAGCGCTTTCCTCTAAGTGAAGCTATTGCTTTGAAGTCTGTTGTCAATGCAGACAACAAGATGGCCTTGAAATTCTGGAAGGAATCGCTGGAGAATTTCGCTTCCGTGACTGGAGAACAGGACGACGGCCTTGGGGACCAACACGCCTCGAAACTTCAGCACCGAGTTTTGTACTCGCGCAGCAGTGTCTCGTTCCCCAGACTTCGGGAGGCAATGGTTGATCTTGGCTTATCGTCAATTGTGACCATTCTCCGCATGGCGTGGGGAATTGCGCTCGCAAATATCTTGGAAAGCTCGCAGGTCCTATTTGCTGAAGTCGTATCAGATCGCATCATGGATAGCAGGCTTGAGACTGCCATCGGCCYGCTCGTTTCGATAGTACCGTCTTTGTTCACACCAGACTCCACAATCTCAGGGACACTGAACAAACAGGACAGTTTCGCGAAGCAAGCTTGGAAACATCGCAATGTTCGTCCGGGGACGATCAAGAACTTGCTCAACAGAGGTGCGACATCTCAAGTCTATCCCGCCATGTTCGCTTTCCATCCGTCTTCTGGGGATACAGCATCTATTTCACACGAGCGATGGTGTCGTCTCGAAGATGTAACAGACATTCAAGTGGAACATCCTCTGGCATTCAACGTATGGCAAGATTCTGACGACTGCCCGAAATTTGAGTTGGCGGTTGCCGACTCGATGATGAGTGAAGCAGAGCAATATCTCCTGCTGGACCAGCTCGACGCATTGGTTCAAGCAATCGTCGCGCGACCCAATGCTCCTCTGACTTCTGTCACTGGGGGGATGCCCACTGCTCTGATCTCAAAGACAACACCTCGGCCGGATACTCGATGTCCTGCCCGCCACTCGCCAACTTACTGGGTCGAACACTGGGCTAAGACCAAGCCAGACTGGATAGCCGCAGAAATCGCAGTCGATGTTGGCTTAGATGGAACTCATACCGTTCACTGGAGTTACTCCAAGCTGCTCGCAGAATCAAACCGCATTGCTCGAATGATACTCGGAAGAGGTTTCACCGCACGCAGAATTGGGATGTGCTTGGGCCGTACGCTCATGTCTTTTGCAGTATCTCTTGGGGTGCTCATCAGCGGAAATACCTATCTTCCGATCGATGAAGCTTTCCCGGCCGAGCGAAAGGCTTTCCTTCTCAAGGATAGTGGTGCTGCTATGGTTTTCACCACAAAGGAGCTCTTTGGAGAGGTTCCGACAGTGTCAGACTGCGAGTTAATGGACGTCGACACGGACAACTTCAAGGACGAGTTTTCCGCGACTGACAGCTCCATCATACCTCGTCAGGGAGTTCCAGCAAGTGACGCATATCTGTTGTACACGTCCGGCTCGACTGGGAAACCCAAAGGTGTCCTGGTCAGTCAAGAGAACCTTGCGTCTTTCGTAGAGGCACAGTCAGAGTTCATCATCGAAAACGCACCTGCCACAAATGAACTGGGTGGACGTGGCAAATATCTTGGCATCGCCAGCCGCGCCTTCGACGTTCACATTGGTGAAATGTTCCTGGCATGGCGGCATGGGCTTGCTATTGTGACTGGCAATCGCTCAATGCTCTTGGACGACTTGGCCCTCGCACTCTCGTCTCTGCATATATCTCATGCCAGTTTCGTCCCCTCTCTCCTCGATCAGACTGGTCTCAGCCCAGAGGATGCGCCGGACCTCGTATTTCTTGGAGTCGGCGGCGAGAAAATGTCGGCCAAGACGAAGAAGAAGTGGGGATCTCACGATCGGGTCAGCTTGATCAATGCGTAAGTGGATTGAGGAGCATCGTTTTGCTCATCACTAACTGATCCTGCATGTAGTTACGGCCCAACGGAGGCAACTATAGGTTGTTGCTCAGGACGGGTGTATCCTGACTCCGATGTACGAGACATTGGTATGCCACTGGGCGACAGTGTAGGGCATGTACTAGTCCCCGGCACCAGTGACTATGCTTTGCGCGGCATGGCCGGGGAGCTCTGTTTCACAGGTAGTCTCATAGCGAATGGGTACGTACTGGGTCGATCTTCTAGCTGTCAAGCAGCTCCTCTGCTCAACACCATACTAACCAAGCTTCGTATCTGATTTAGCTATCTCAACCGCCCAGACGCCAAAGGTTTTATCGACGACTTCCATGGCAACAGGATGTATCGCACTGGTGACATTGTGCGGCTCACGATCGATGACCATATCCACTTCCTGGGCCGGAAGGACGATCAAGTCAAAATTCGAGGCCAGCGAGTGGAGCTCGGCGAGGTTGCTGAAGGAGTTCGCATGGCCTCCGAGAATGCAGTAGATGTGGCCGCTCTCGTGGTCAGGCATCCGGAGCTTTCCAGAGTACAGGTATGTTGGGTTGTTCAAGCGACTAGTTGTCGCCTGCACGTAGTGGCAACACCCGCGCTGACCCCGATTTCGCAGCTTGTTGCTTTCATTGCGCGAACGCAATCCCTACAACGCAAGACCCGAGAGCTTCCCAAAGTGATCAAAACGGATCTCGAAGAAGCCAATTCAACCCTCCGGAGCAAATGTCAAAGCACACTACCAGCATACATGGTTCCGGATCTCATTGTCCCCCTCGATCACATTCCTCTTGCAGCAACATCTGGAAAGTCGGACAGCAAACTCTTGATTCAGGTCTTTTCTTCAATTCCTATCACCGAGCTTATGCTGCGTGAGCCAGCGAAAGGGTCTACCAAGTCCTCAACTACGAGAGCGATGAACGAGATCGAGAAGAAGGTACTAGATGTCATCGCTTCCGTGATGAAAGACAAGCCACAAAGTGTTTCTCCTAGCACATCCGTGTTTGAGCTCGGCATTGACAGTTTGGCGGCCATCAGTGTCTTCTCCAAACTCCGAGGGGCTGGTTTTAACTGCAGTGTTGCAATGGTGATGAGAAACCCGACGATTGAGCAGCTTGCTCAAAGCTCTACCTCGCAGAACATTGAGTCTTCCGGGATCGTGGACATGGAGCCAATTCGTCGGGGGTTGAAGAGTTTCGAAGACCAATTTCTTCAAAGCCCGGGATGTAACATTGATCCGGAGCAGATCGCCACCGTTCTGCCCTGCCTTCCGATGCAGGAAGTACTCGTTGGATCAGCAATGCATGACGACTCGTATGGAGCCTACATCAACCACACCAAGTTCGCTGTCGGAACTGATGTCGACATCACACGGCTACGCGAGGCATGGGAATCACTCGTGCGCAACAACGAAATATTGCGAACTTGTTTCTCTACCTCTGGCGATGCTTTCGTACAGATTGTGTTGAAACCAGACGTTGCTATGCTTGATTGGACCGAGTTCAGTGTTGAGTCATCTGCTTCAATTGCCTCAATTCAGGAGTTAGCTGGAAGAGACATTGTCCAGAACTTGCAGACAAAACCACCTATGCGCTTGAACTATCTCCCCACTTCCAATGGCGGCGAGCTTCTGTTCTCCATATCGCATGCTATCTACGATGGCAACTCCCTGGAGATAAWGTTCCGGGACATCGAAAGCTACTACAAAGGCCAGAAGCCGGAAGTTCGACTCAATGCACGTCCGTTGGTGGAGTATATTTCCAGCCAGCCGACGGACCAAGCACAGCAACATTGGACGTCCCTGCTCGATGGCTGGGAAGCTGCGCCTTTATTGAGTGCTCTGACCCATAATAAGGATGTCTCACTGAGCACCAGCAAGAGACAGTTCCGGGTGAAACTCTCAAAATTGGAGAACGATGCCTTGTCGCGCAATGTGACATTTGCCACGCTTCTTCAAGCTGCGTTTGCCATCTCGCTGTCGCAAGTCATTCGCACCAATGATTTCATCTTCGGCAACGTTCTTTCCGGTCGGACTATACCTGTTGATGGCGCCGACAAGATCTTGGCTCCATGTGTCACTACCGTTCCGCAGCGTGTCAAACTCGAAGACTTGCAGATTTCCATAGCAGAATTCCTCCTACTGCTACAGGAGTCCAACTCGGCGTCTCTGGAATTCCAGCACGTTTCCCCGAGAGCAATTCAGCGATGGCTCAAGGCAGATCGACCACTTTACGATGTCTTGTTCTCCTTTATCCGGACTTCTGCTCCGGGGTCCCAGGACAAACCACTTCTCCAGCAACAATCGACCGATATCGCTGTGGACTATCCTCTCGCAGTCGAGTTCGAAGCTAGTGAAGGAACAGACGGACTGGTTGTGAGCGTTGGGTTCACCGATGCTTTCGGCACTGCCATGGATGCACAACTCCTCCTCGAAAGGATCGAAACGCTTACAGAAACGATCTTGGAGCGAAGCGAACTGACACTCCAGTCCTTAGGAGTCACCGGTGTTGGTGCACAGCGGAAGTCGGTCAATCGTGAGCGCTATGATGAAAGCAGCTGGTCCCCTCTAGAATCCCAACTCRGGGCCCTCATCAGCGAATTCACCACTATTCCACTTCACGAGATACACAAAGATATGGCATTCATCCACTTGGGCGTTGATTCGATATCCGCGATCCGACTAGCGAAGCATCTTCGCAAGGCTGGACTCAAGGTGTCCTCGGCAGATGTTATCAGACACAATCGCCTTGGTGCACTCAGCAATCATCTGAAATCCACCAGTGAGAGAGCTGAGGAAATTGACAAAATCGCACCAGGATTGGAAACGGCTGGAAAACAACAAGACATGCTACCAGTCCTGGCTGCAGCAGGTGTCAAGGATCTTCCAGAAGATGCCAAGTGCTACGAGTGCACACCACTCCAAGCCGGTATGCTTGCACAAAGTCTTGCAACGGACGGAGCTCTGTACATGCATCACCACGCAATTGAATGCAATCCCGATATCGATCTTGATCGATTGAAGCAAGCCTGGGATGCTGTTACCCGAGATGTGGACGTAATGAGGACCACCTTTCACTGGCTACCAAAGCATACCGCTCCGTGGGTTGCAGTCGTTCATCCCGACAAGAGACCGACATGGGAGGACATCACAGTCAGCGATGCTCGAGAACACTGGTTACAGCTTTCTAATGACTCGGACTTTACCGCACGTATCCAGAGCGCGCAGCCTCTAGCTGGGGTTCAGATTGTCAACTCGAAGGAAAGGTCACCCGTTCTCATCCTTTCCCTACACCACGCCATTTACGATGGAGTATCCCTCGGCATGGTCTATCGGCAGTTGTCGATGAGATATCACAATGTACCAACACCGCAGCTGATACCATTCCACGAGGCTGCGAAAACCATTGTCCGCTCGGCAGATACTGCGGCAGACTTCTGGGCAGAGCATGTCAAAGGATATGAAGGTACACCGCCAGCTGAAACCACCGACCAGTTTAATTTCGCAGAGCGTGTTGTAACGTCTGATGTGTCTTCTCTGGAACACAAATGCCGCACGCTCGATCTATACATCAAAGACGTCGTGATTGTGGCCTTTGGCAAAGCGATGATGAAGAGCTTCGCTCGTCGCGATGTGGTCTTCGGCCAGGTCCTAGCGGCGCGTGCCAGTCAGCTGGGAGATGGAGATGTTGTTGGTCCTGTGTTCAACACCGTTCCCTTCCGTGTCGCTCTGAACGATGTCCTATCTACGAACAAAAGCCTGGTGGATACTGCACATGCAGTCGATCTCGATTCAATCGAGTTGCAACACGCCTCTCTGGCGGATGTTCAGAAGCGATGGCGAAAAACCACTACTGATCCCAGTGCGTCATTAATTGACAGTATCTTTGTCTACAGCAAGCTTGAAAACTCTGGGGAGCATGGCCTGGATACTCTGGGGCGACCTCTCGAAAGCGACAAGGTGCCGGTGGCGTCTGAGTACCGTCTCAATTTTGAGGTTGAGCACACAGCAACTGGACTCACAGCTCGCGCGCTCTCGTCAGCTCCCTCGGGCGAGATTGAGAACCTGCTCAAGAACTTCGCCGCCTGCGTCCACGACATTGTTGACCATCCCGATCGTTTCGCAGCAGCACATCCAGAAGGTCTACGCGATTTGCCACTCGAGCTGAAGAATTCAATGGCACTGGAGAACGCAGAGATGTCCTTCAACCCGGCTGCAGTGGATCAATACGCAAATGTCATTCGCAAAGCTATGGCTGACGTCGCCGAAGTTCCTGCCGATAGCATCGCATTGGATTCTAGCATCTATTCATTTGGAGTGGACTCTATCGCAGCTATTCAAATTGTTTCTCGCTGCCGGAAAGCGGGTGTTCGCATCAGTGTGGCGCAAATTTTGAAGGGCGCTGTCTTGGGACGGATCTGTGAAATTGTAGCTGCCAGTGCCAAGAAGCCGACCAAAAAAGAGGTTGCGTCGTCCGAGCAGTCCAGTCTGATCAGTACAGAGCACCAGCAGATCGCACTCGCCACTCTGAACCTCTTGAAAGATGCGGTGGAGGAGATACTACCTTGCTTGCCGGGCCAAGAATACCATCTCATGGGCTGGCTTCAGTCCGGCCGTACTCTCTATGAGCCAGGGTGGATCTTCAGGGCAAATCTTGATGCTGGCAGACTGAGATCCGCCTGGAGGAAACTACGAGAGCGTCATGCCATTYTCAGAACGACATTTGCCGCCGTTGCGCCAGATCAAGCAGTTCAAGTTGTGATGAAGCACTCCGCTATTCAGGACGACGCCTTTGAAGTCCACCAAGCAGACGGAAGCTTGGTGGATGCAGTGAAAGAACGAGCGTATCTTGAAGCTCGCAGCCCATCGAACATGTTCACCCTTCCCATCAGGCTGCGACTCATTCAAGCGGAGGATGGAGATGCCATTATGCTCTACTGTCATCATGCATTGTATGATGCTTGGAGTATGCCTAAGCTTATCAAGGAGCTTGAAATGCTCTATCTGGATCAGGAAGTGGAAAATGTGCCCTCTTTCTCACAGCTTGTACGACACATAAAGGAATCTATTGACAAAGAAGAGGAAAAGGCCWTCTGGAATGAAAGCTCGGCCGGTTGTGAACGCGCAGTGATTCCGGCCTCGGGTACAGTCACCACCGATGAGCTGGACCGAAGACAGATCTTCTCCATGGCGGAAAGCACCTCTATCGACGTCACGGACCTTGAGACTCTCTGCAACAAGCACAACCTTTCGCCGCATCACATACTCCTCCTTGCGTTCGCTCGCGCTGTTGCAGTCGAGACAGACACCACTAGCCCGCTTTTTGGCTTCTTCCAACTCGGTCGCTCTACAGCTTTTGACAATATCGAAACTGTCACTGGCCCTTGCGTGAATACACTCCCACTGGGACTACCTTTGCCACTCACACGCAACGTCTTGGAATCTTCACGTAACATACAGGCATTACTCGGAGCCCGTGTACCTTATGAGCAAAGTAGTCTACGCACCGCCGTCGAAGCGATCGACAGCCATGCCCATAAACTTCCTTTCAACGCTTTCATTAATGTTTTGTGGAACACGAAAAGCTTGGTCGGCGATGTGAATGAGGGAGATCTTTTCCAGCCAATGGCGATTGGGGTCCCGACCGACTATTCAAGCCCGAGAGCACTAGTGGGAAAGACTGCTGTCGATGGATTGGATGCAAGTTTCCTGCCTGAAGGATGCTTGTTTGTGGATGTGGGTAGGAGAGGGAATCAAGTTGTGTTTGGTGCGAGGGCGGATGCGAATTTGATGAGCGAGGAGAAATTGGGCAAGTTCATCCAGAGTGTTGAGAGACAGGTCGTGGAATGCTTGGAGGGTTTGAGAAGTGTTTGAGTAGTAAGACGGGAATCTGTGCTTTGGGATGAAACCAGCGCTGGGGAAGGCCGGGAGAGGAAGGACTTTGATTTATGCTACTCTGTTGGCGATGCGATACGTCGTTCACATCCCAGTGCTTGACAACCCCTAGACGAGTAGACATCAGCATTTGAACAAGTCATTTGGCACAGTTTTTCCCCGGGCGACAGCCCTTGAATCATGCCGTGAGTCCGTTCGCTCGTTGGTACTTTGATCCCCACTTCTCCGCACCTTTTTCAACCACATCATCATCTTCAGCACTTGAACAACCGCCAAGTCCAGAGTCTCAGTAGGCATGTGCCRAACCCAATTGCTGATAGAAGACATACTAAGACCACGGATTAACTATAAGCAGACGCAGGTGTTGGTGGCCCTCAAACTTATTCTATCAGGATCACAAAGGAGGTTTCTAATCTAGCAGTGACTCACCGCTGTCAGCCTAAATGTCAGTGAAAGATCTCTAAGAAGCGCACCATAAGTGGAGGCGAATCTTCCGGATTCAGACATCGGAAAAACTATGTGCCGAACCGCCGAAGTGAATGAATATCCCAAATGTCGAACGGTGTTCAATTCAGAACTTAATACAAAGCAGTTGAACTCGGTGACTTGCAAAACTCTTTATTTCTGTTTGGAGCGCAGTTATGAATCGAACTAGCGTCTCTCCTCTCTGGACATGTAGAACCTGATTGAACAACATCAGCACTCTGGGAAATCGCTCGAGAGGGCAAATGGGCGCTGTTTGATGAAAGGAAAATACGAACGTTGAATTGAGAGTTGAAGTGATAGGTGAAATGATAGTTTGAATTGACAAAAATAATAACATTGCTACACACCTCCCAAGAGAAAATCAAACAGAAACTCACCTTACCTTACCTAGTAGCCCGCGCTCAACGCGAAACCCACCAAAAAAAAAAACCTAACTCTTAACCCGACAGCAGCAATCACTAATACTCTGATTACAAATTTTAACATATTCCGAATTCCCCTCAAGCGACCCACACCCCGGCGAAACCTCGCAAACTCCATATTGTTCCCCCCAAAAAAGTGAGAAGTTGATAGCAGAGTCCTCCCGAGACTCGATYGTCCAACAAACACATTGGTGAAGTGGGAATTTACACTTTTCGCACAGGCCTCTGAGAGAGTTGATAGCCGATCGTCCAACAAACACATTGGTGAAGCGGGTATTTACACTTTTCGCACAGGCCTCTGAGGGAGTTGATGGGGAGGAGCGAATCGAGGACCCAACAGACACATTGGTGAAGCGGGTATTTGCAGACTTCGCACTGGCCTTTGAGGGAGGTGATGGGGAGGACCACCGCGGTGGTGAATTTGGAGCCGCACATTTTTTTTTGGTTGGTGGTGGTTGTGGAGGAGTTGTTTTTGAGAGTGGKGGATTGGATCGAAGATAGGATGGTGGTTGTGGTTGTGGTAGTTGGGTTTTGTGAGTGGAGGTTGTTTGAGTAGTTGATGTGATGGAAGTGTGTATGAGAGAAGGAGTTGGATTGTAGGTCGTGGATGTTAGTTTTATGTTGAGGACTGTTGTATGAGAGTGTGATGGCGGACAACGAATACTCSCATCAATGGGCTTTGATTAACGATCAATGCCAATGTTAGGACGGACCAATCGCTTTGTTCTAGAGTTCCATGCAAAGCGACCGTTCAAAGATGTCTACGAAATGAACAATGTGCCATAAAACTTCAGCAATTCTATGTATAGACTAGCTATTGATAGTGTAGGTGGTGGCGCGACATGTAGACTATAACCGCTTTGTATAGGAAAAGGAGCCTCGGCTGGTGCGGAAGACAACGAGACGATGCACTTGTGCAAATAATGACAGAATTTGGTAGATTAAAGAGCTTTATTTAAGAGACAAAGACTCATAGATGATTTGACTCCTATCGAATGAATTTCGTCTCAAAGGCGACCTTTGACGAAACATTGCGACTTTACAGATACCCGTTCCCATTCGACACCTCAGTAGCTAGGCCAGTCGATACAGAACGACGCGATATGTGTGGGTAGATGGGCAGCGGACGGGGAATTCCAAGTCAGGATTGCAGAACGGGCAATCAAGATGACTACTGTGCGGGCAATCATACGTTTAACAGCTTGCTTTGATGATCTATCAGCAAATCTCCTTTCATGAGTTGTATGCGTAGTTCAAGCATAACCATAGGCACTTACTTAGGGGCCATTGATCGATCGGACGGACTGTGAGCAACGCTATAGAATGTGCCGGGCAGAAGACGTCTGCCATGAACCTCACTTATATCAAGCAGCCTGAATATGTTTCAGTTCAGTCCACAGAAGCTGACAGATTGAAGCGAGAGATTGATCGAGGGGCCATAAGAAGGGGTACCGCCTCACTTGTTGTCCTTTAGCTTCTTGGTCGTAGTGAATGAAGCAGCAGAGTTTAAGACTCTATTACATGAATGCTGCAATGCCTGATGTAGTATCAAAGCTGTAAACATGTTTGCAGTGCGGTAAGAATTAATAGCACAGGCCCGTCATTCATACAAACCATCTCAACGACCCCCCAGAAACATAAATCCACAAAAATCACTCACTCATAAATATAACAAAACTCTCCCCCCATCGTATCAACAATATCCCCAATCCTCACAGCCTCATACCCATACATCCCTCCCAAATCAACAACATCATCCAACGTAACATTCCTACTAGCAGGAAAATTCAAAGGAGTAAAAGTCCCCGCAATCTGTCCCACCCTCCCCCCAAAATCCTGCATCTGCCAAATCCACCACAAACGATCAATCTCCGCATGCAAAAACCAAAAAAACACATCACCAGGCGAAGTAAAAAAATCCCCTCCAGGGTCCCCTCCAACCATATAATGAGCAGCAGCATGCACTCCATATTCCGGAGTCCCAAAATCAAAGGGACCTTGCATCCAATCTTGAAAAAGTTCGATATTGGGGGATTCGGTGATGAGTTTTGTGCAATTGGCATCCGAGACGCCGCTCGCAGAGATGACATTCAGGGAGCGCCGCATGCAGCGGGGGTTGTAGCCTTTGCCGTTGGGGAGAGGGTTGGGTTTGGTGTCGTTTATGGAGGCTAGACCTCTGGGACCGAGGGTTACGGTGTAGTTTACAAAAGGACCGTCGGTCACGCAGCCTCCGCCGGGTAGGGCGGGGATTTCTACGTCTACGCCGTTGGGAGAGGATTCGGGGGCTGTGAGGGGGATGGGACCGTGTGGGACGTCTTTACCGTTGCCGCTGAGGGATGTTTCTGATCCGTCGAAGATAGGGGCGCCGATTACGGAGTTGCTGTATCGCCCAAATTTTACATAGGGTTCTGTGGTCTTGTTAGCTTTCTTATATCGTTGTCAAGAAAGAAAGAAAGAGTTGGAAGATGTACGGTAGCCGGTATAGTTGCACTCATTACGAAGGGCCTCTTCAAACGCCCAGATATACTGACGATGCCAGCTGAGAAAAACGCCCGTATTGTGAATGGTATGATTGGAAGCAGTYCCATCAATATGCACGACCACGAAATCATCGTATCTGGACCTCGCACCTGGCGCCGATTCTCCACTGATGGCAGGTAAGGTCTGCAGGCAACGAACAGCCGCAATGTACTCTTTCTTCTGGTCCGGTACTAGGTCATCCCATTCCTTGCGTCTGTGGGCGGTTTTCAGCGTGCAACTGCTGTTCTTGGACCCCGCGTTGGTCTGTAGGTATGCCTCCAACTTGGAAAGACCATTTCTAGCCAGTTCATCGGTTCCAGTTGTGGGACCTGGTATCCATGCGGGTGGTTTCGAAGACTCCAATGGCACGGCTACTACTGCATTTGCCGCGAGAAGCGAGAGGAGAATGGAACCGAGCATTGCAATGCGTAGTCCTCTAAGTAGGAGGAATAGATGTTGGCAGATACTGCATACAAAAGTTTGGGGACAGACCGAAACTACCTAAAACTAACTATCTGTGAAATGATCCATGCCATAAGATAAGAGATCGTCCTTGGATTGCAGACATGGACTTCCTCTAGGACGGCCCTAGCCAAGGGAAGAGCCCACTAAGAACATGGCCGACTTCTACGGGGTAACTAGCTCGTCTGAGGTAGAATTAAAGGAAGCCATTTCCACCCATGTCATCGAAGGATGGGTTACTAGATAGAATGAAGACGAAAGACCAGAGGATCCGCATGCACTGTCTGTCTGACCAAGCGAAAGAGGAACCATTTGGAATACCTCATTTAGTATGCCTTCTGATATGAACATGATTCAGAGGACGGTGTTCAACGTCGCGTGCTTCAAAGCAGTGGTTAAATCGTCGAAATGTAGGGAGAGAGCAAGAGAATGGCGATTTGGCCAACATCCGCTGCGCGTAGACCGCCGGGCGTTGTGCAATCGTATCAATTCCAGCAGGACACATGATCGCGGATCCGAAGCAATTTGGCAATGTCTCAAGAATGACCAGCAGACCAGCGGACCGCCGACTGCGAGAACTTGGCAGTTCCTGCTATGATTGTTAGCTTAATCTGCATCATTCTGAAGCACTTCGAAGTTCGTGTAGCTGTTCGCAGTAGTTGGCGATACTAACAACCAACGGACCTTCTTGCTCAGAGCCGAAGTCCTACCACTTGAACCATTCGCCAGCCAAGCATATACAAAATTGCACCGAACGCCAAGCTCCACTGAATGGCCGATCTACCAAACTCCACTGAATGGCCGACCTACCAAACGCCGAATGACTGCGCAAAAAAAGATGGAGCGGCTCTGTGCATCGGACGTCATTTCTGATAGCCAAACATCCGCGTTCACTTGCGATTTTGCGAGAATGTCTGCATCCTTCCTCTAGATTCGCCAGCAGCACTGTTGCTGTTCTTACTGGGTAAAAAAGCATCCAAAGACGCCTTGGTGGTTGGAGAACACGAAACGGATCCGGCATCGTAAGAACGAGACGCATCAAGGTTTGACGTTCTCGAGACGCAGTGCGAGTACACTGCCATGCAGGGAGTAGTCATCACCATCCCAGCCAACGAAGAAGTTGGCCGGAGCCTCAAAGGTAGAAGAAGCYGGGTAGAAAGGTAGATCCCATTCCTCAAGTTTCCAAGATGATTGTGTCCACGCCTTTCCCTGAGGGGATGCCGCTGTTGTCCGACATCGGTGGGCAATAACGACGTTCGGGTAATCTTTTATTAGGTCGGCAAAACGCGCGGAAGCCTCCAGTACGATGGCAGCTAGACAGGTGGGATTTGAGAGGTTTGTAGAGAAGACTCTTTTTCCAGTTTCGCAAGTCGCGATCGGATGGACGATACAGTTCTGCCGGGCACCACTTTTGCCATCTGCGGGCATGATATGCCCTGAGACCTATAGCTACGTATCTTCTTGTCCTCTTCGGTGGACCAAGGGGTGTTTATGACTGAGCGTCGCCCCAATTTCTTTAATTCCTCGCGCAAAACTCGGTCTACTGTGCTCGATGGTCGCTGGAGATACGTAGTGAGTTCCCTCCTACTTTGACCTTGATCATAGCGGCGCACAAGCTCTTCCCGTTCTGCGAGCCTGATGCGGTCACGTATGGTGACCATTTTTTGCGGAGCAGGGCTTGAGTCAGGCTCCGAGAGGTTCCCTTGGTGGGCCGTAGATGTCGTCGATTCACCGCCACGGTTTGCGTCCAGGTCGTTGCCAGAGATCGTGGACTGCTCATCCTTGACACTTTCTTCCAAGCATTCCAGTCCGTCAGGTTCGATCCGTGATGGTCTCGTATACTTTCTCCCGCCTGTGATGAGCTTCGTCCTGCGTGCGAAATTGTAGACTGACTGGTAGGTCAGGCCCATCTCAAGGGCGACTTGCGTGATGGACTTCCCTTCTGCCAAAGCACGCTGGACGACTCGTCCCTTTTCTTCCGTCCAGGAGGAGTAATTCAGCCCAGCGCTCGGATCATTTCCAGGGCACACGGCATTCAATCTTCTCCACGCAGTTTTGCGGGAAAGGTCGAGCTCGCGTGCAACGGCGCTGAGCGGCTTGCGTGCTTGGAGGCCTTCCACTATCCGCTGCTCTATTGCCGACGGTTCGCTTTGGCTAGACGTTGGATTGGCAAGCAGATAATCATGAAAGCGCCGCTCGACACCACTCGACGATCTTCCGAGCACTCGACCAATTTCAGAATATGACACGCCCTTCTGTCGCAGTTCCACGATCCGGGCATCTTCCTCCACGCTGTAATAATGCTTCTCGTTCTTGTTGAAGACCCAGCCGTCACCGTGCAGCTGCCTGACGTGTCTTGTCAACTGCGCATTTCCATCTACTTGCGCCCGGCAGGTCATCCAAAATGTAGGCCATTGCGCAGACCGGGTCTGGAGTAATCTGCCCAGCATTTCATAGGACCAACGTCGTCGTTGTTGGCATCCAGCTCCAGCTCCCTAATAACATGCAACTACCTAGGTTTGGACGCGAAGAACTAGGTACCTTGCTCCTAAGGTAGGTTGGATCAACTTTWAGCCCCACGCCCAAAAGTTCTGGCACAGTACCCCTACCTTAGGTACCTACTATGCCACAGACATGGATGACAATGTCAACCGCCAAGACGTGGCGTCCGATGATAACTCTCACGCCACACAACCATCTATATCATCAGGAACCCTTATATCATTCCTTCACTAAGACTATGTACACACGATAGTCAATTCCCCCCCTTCATCTCCACCACCGCCATGCTGCTCCACTCCCAACTCGGCCTGCATGCACTCGACATACCACCGACATCAATCCATCATCCATCCATCTTGTCTTACAAATACAGATAGCGTCTCGTCGTTCACTCCAGGATACCGGGTATGATATGTTTTGCACTCGCCTCTTTCAATCAGCTCCACCCCACCCCACTCTTCAAACTTCCTGACGCGCCTCTTTGTCGCCTTGCTTTCTTTGGTGCGTCTCGCTCTACGTCCGAGTGCTCGGCCAGTAGCACGGCCTCGGATCATGGGCAGCAGACACTGCTTTGATTCCCTCCATCCATCTCTGCGCTTGGTCTCACTCAATCCCTCATGCGTTCGTACAGCAAGATATATGCGACTTTGTTGTCGCGTACGCCTTGGCTCTTCGCCGCAGTAGGGGTCCTCTTGCCATTGGTGCTCGCGGGAGTGGCGGTTCCATTCGTAGCAGCAGCAGAGCCAACTCCGCTCCACTTCTTCGCATGACCATTGACTTCCGCCCATGGTTTCTCCTCTTCGGGCTCCTTCTCGGCCTCGTCCAGACCCTGATAGATGTTGCGTTGCTTCTGCATGTCCGCGTCGGCCTTGTGCTGCTCGAGCGCTTTGGCGAGCAACTTGGGGTCTTCCTCTGAACCGCCCTCGGCCACATCCTCGGGTCTAATCCGACGAATGACAGTGTCGTCCATGCGCACCCACTCTCGGCTGTCCTGGCGCAGAACATCAACCGTGTAGTGACCACCGGCGGCAGACTTCCCGTGATGGTACACGACGCCTGTAAGACGGTATCTGGGGAGTCCCCCCTTCAGAGCCAGACCACTGCGCTTGGCTGGTGGAAAGACTTCTTTGGGAATCTCCAGCTCAAGAGGGTAGCCGACCTTCTTCCAGATCTTCTGAGTGCCGGCCTGGGAATTGTCGTACTGGAAGCGCTTGAGGTGGAGGATGAGCACTGGTGGAAGGGTATCAATGAACACCTGCTTCTTTGCGGTCGAACCGGCTCGGCCTCCAAAATCGCCCGTCAGTGTCTCGGCTCGAGTGATTCCCTTCAGGGCATCGACAATGTTGTTGACATGGGACGCTCCAATGTCCAGCTGCAGAGGCTGGTACGGCTCGAGGGTGACAGAGTCCTTGGACCCTTGCACTCGGAGCTCGGAGCGCAGGTGGCCGCCGAAGATCTTGGTGACTGGCGATGGTGCATCTTGCTGACCAGCGGTGCGAGTGATGGAGGCCTTTTGTTTCGGACCAACTTCGAGCCATCCGTCTCCGGATCCTGGTGATGTGGTCGGAGATGCGCTGCCGTTCTCCTGGGGAACTTCGGCGGGTTGGCCCTGCATGACGTGCACACACTCGTCGTGCAGCCCTTCGAGCAAGAATCCGAGGAACTCTTCAGCATCCTGCTGATGTCCTCTCTGTGTACCGTTAGTGATGTTCAACGCCTGGAACACGGAAGACTTACCCTCATGCTCGCAAATCTGGGCAGCTTGCGAATCACGTCATAGACATACTCCGGGGTCACCGGGTCGCCGTAGACCTCAACCTGATCCTGCTTGAGCATCTTGCGCAAAACATCGGCCGACTCTGCGCCTGCCAAAACCTTGAACTCTCTCATGAACATAATCAWCGCATCAACAAGTGGGATATCACTCTTCATCGAATGAACAGTACGCTCTCGGACCTGATCCAAGAAGTTGTAGAAAGGCGCACAAAAGACCAGGACTTGGAGAATCTAAGTTACATCAGTATGCATGTCAAAGATAGAGGGGGCAGTGTGGTCATACCGAATTCATATAGCACATGTTGCCGGTGTTGACCAGGCCTCTCGGCTCCAGAAAYGCCAGCTTCGCATCGCTCTGCACACTGTACTGCCGGAGGGCGTCCGCCAGCGGTGCAGTCTTGGGGAGTTGAACACTGCTAGCTACAGCTTGTCCGTTAGTAGTGCCGACAGAAGACTTCGGCTTGTTGACTTTGACAAGATCAGCCCACGACTTCGGCGCCGCCGGCTTGGGTGGCTCAGTTGCAGGAGATGCTGCTTCAGCGGCTTTTGGCTCGAGTGATGCGGAATCTTCGCTGGCCGCAACGTTTTCTGTCTTATTCTCTTCCACGCTGTCGTTCTTTGGTGCCGCTCCCTGGCCGGCAGTGCTTGGGGGCGAAGCCTCTTTCGCTCTAGGTAGACCGGCAATATTCGGCACAGCGATGGCCGTTCGAGTACTGCTTCGTGCGTGTTGCTGAGACGGAGCAGGCTTGGGGGAGACGTGAGCGACTTGAGCCGGAACTGCGGGCGTTGATGCCTGTGCAAAGTCGCTCTCGGAAGGCGCCTGGGAGGTAGCGGGTGTTTCCGGCTCGGAGGGCGCAGCAATCGTGGATGTCTCGGACGAGGCATCCTCGGCAGAAAGCGCTTGCGACTCGACCGTGGCTGTTGCTGCGTCCTGATATCGGGGCTGCTCTTCTGGTTTCTCCTCCTTGCCTGCAGGTTCGTCTTTCTTGGTTATGCTTTCGCCCTCGACACTCTCTCTTGCATGCAGCTCAGGCAGGGCAACGGCATCATCGCGTCCGTGAATATTCCGTCGCCGGCGTCGTCGAGATGTGGCGYGGGCAGGGAAATCGGCGCGAGACTCGGGAACCGAGTACCATGGCAACTAGTTCACGTTAGCATTTATCCATTCACAACTCGACGCGGCGATTCACGCTCACCTCTGGCCAATACGGCTGCTTGTACTCTGCGGGCATACTCAACGGATTCTGAGTGGTCGAGGTTCGTCGAGGTACCTGCGGCGGTGGTGGCGTCAAGGATCGCTCCTCCGGCTTGGGAACCTGAACGGGCGCTGGGGTGGACGAGACGATGGGAGGCTGCTGGTGGACATAGGGCGGGATAGACCTTGGCGACTGCATCGAGTGTGGCGTGGGCGGCAGCGGGTTCGGCTGTCGTGTGACGGGAGTCGCAGGCAGCACGTGTGGCTGCGACGAGACGACCATGGGCGATCGCTGCTGCGCGTACTGCGGCGGCATCTGAGGCGGTGGCGGTGGGACGTAGTGCTGCATCGGGTAGGGCGGCTGCTGCTGCCATCGGTACTGCGGCGGCGGTGGAGGTGGATGTCCATAATACTGCGCGTAGTAGGCATGTTGCTGCATGTTGGGATGCATGGGCGATTGCGGCGCGTGATGGTACTGGTGTGGATGGAACTCGCGATGCTGGTGCTGGGAGGGAGGGCCCGGATGATATCCAAGCCCTCCTCGCCGCTCCGCATTCATCGTCGTGGGRGATCCGAGTCTTGCTGCACCTCTGACGTCCACTTGCTTATTCCGAGGATGAGATGGCCGGGTCGGGGGAGAGCGCGCGCGCGATGTTTGGCTGCATTGAAGGCCGACTGCGCGGGAGAGGGGGCTGTACTGGTTTGACGCGCGTGTGATTGCAGGAATGCGCGGGACAGAGGTGGTGGAGGAGTGGAGAGGTGTTGTTGATGCTGTTCGGTCCTTGCTGATCGATGTAGATTATATAAGTCCAGAAGGTGCGGAAAGTCACTCGATCAATCCGGGTGAATATTCACGCCTCGGCAGCAACCGTGCGGAGTCGGCAACACACAGCTCCACGAGGATGCTGATGGTGGACGGGGTGAAGTGAGGTGAGGACGGCGTCGACTGGTCAGTGAAGATGTGAAGTCGAAGCCAGACATTGATGACAAGAGGTTTGAGCTCGGAAATCTGGTCCGTGCGTGCCATGAAAATTGGAGAGCTCGTCAACTACATTGCTCCATGTACCCCTCCCCTTCCTCTCACGTGAGACAAATTTCGCGCGTTGATTCATTATTCCATTCCTTCAATCTACGACTGTAGTGTCGAGTTGCCCTCATCTGCTTCATGCAGAGCTCTGGCACACTTCATTCTTCCATTACTCTACTGCCGTGCCGGAGCAAAGCTCTCCAATCTCTTCTCCAAACCAATCTGCGGATGTCGATGGCTTGCTTCTCTCACTTCTGACGGGGCGCGTCTTGCATCATGCAAATTGTGATGAGTCCGGTGCGAGGCTCACCCCGAGGAACCTCCGTCATCTCCATTGCCTTCCCCTTCTCTGCAGTCTTCAAGCTTGGGGTGGGATCTGCAAGACGCTTCAGATTGGACCGACCGCGGCGACGTCTCAGTGGTGCTGGTCGGGAAGACGTTGAGCAAGTGTCGTAAAGTTCCAYTTCTTCGGTAACGCTGGACTCTATAGACAGTGACCCAGTCAGCGGTGCTTCCGAGCGAAGGGGCCGGATGTAGACTCGCCCACATCTCCGAGACCACTATCTTCCGCACAGCTGTCGCGTGGATTGAGCTCATTGCTCAGTGGTGACAAGAAATTTGCTAGTCCTGATGTCAGCCGGGTCTGAGATAGTGTCACGGCCCGCCGTGACCTCACCGAGGGGTTGCAGCTGGTACATCATGTCGAGCATGGCGTGGTTGACGGCGACAGCTCGGTGGAGCGCAGCGCCCATCTGATCCATGCGGACGTTGCTCTGTTCGACCTTGTCAGTCACGCAGTCCAAACGTGCCTCCATGGCGTGAAGGCGGGTCGAAAGTCCATGTGTGCTGGCCATTTGGTGGATGGATGGCGGAGAGTGAAATTCAAAAGGTGAAGCCCAGTTGTATAGTAATTAGAGGGGTCGTGAGCACGGTTCTCACTTTATACAGCTCCCGCTCGCAAATGGAACTTTTGTAGGGCTAGCGGCCACATTGACAGCAGGGTCCCTGATTGCCAGCAGAGAGATGCAAATCGTGGGGAGTGCCCGCCCCTCTTGATAGCCATCCACTTCGAGGTAGCCTTTCAGCTCGTAGGCATCAATTGTCAATCTCCATTCTTGCGTCCTGATGATATGCCGAGTTTTTGAGCAAGGAGGGTTGGATGTACTCCAATATGGTGAACGTCGAGTCCGGTGCGGTGTTCCATGCTGAAGAGCCTAACACACGAGGTCGCCCGCATCAGCAGTAATGTGGCTTTGGCGGTTTTGCCAACATGAGTGGACTATACCGCACGATGCTCTTGGTAGCCAACCTCTGCTCGACTTTCAGAGACTCCAGTAAGTTGAAGATCTGCGCTTACCCGCCTGGTCCTGGTAACACTCGTTCATAGTAGCTAGCACATGAACAGCACAGTCAATTTTCGGAGCGTACACCAAGTTATACTACCATGGCGGTTTAAATGCCCACACAATAGAATCGATGACCTAGCATTCCGTGTCTGAGAAATGGGTAAGGAAGAGGGAGGAACCAAAAAACACTGGAACCCCGCCGCGGCTTGCTCACGGTAAACGCGGTTCATGGGTCTCAAATGTACTCCAGCTTCGGAAGTGAGCCAGCCGATGGCTCTTCGGTGGGGCGTTGTAGGAGGATTGATCTTCTCAGCAGTATGCCTGCGTGCAATCTTCGTAAAAAGGCTGCGGGTAGTCTCGCGGTGGGACAGTATACAGACCGCGAAATTGCCGCCGTGGGTACGGCAGCTGGACCACGAAGATAGAAGGACGGTCGTCTGGATTGAAGGACGTTGCAGTCGAATGCTATCACTTGCTCTTTGTGGTAGGACACATCAACTGTTTGCGTGAGACTGCAGCGACTATAATACAAGTGGCAGTACGAAGCGTTTGTGCTTGAACAATTGTGTTTCCATGCTCACCAGTACCGGATACGAAAGATCTCTGATCCAAGTCCATAGCAAGCGTACTATGTAGATATGGAAATCCAGGGATGGTCCTCGGAAAGGCCTGTCGGGGCACAGGCCGCGGATTACATTGAGGAAGACGCCCTCTCGTCGACGAAGTTTCCACTGCCGTTTGTCTCCCCGAAAAGTAAGGGTTTTTTGAATGTCGGAGGTAGAAGACGACGGGACTCGAGCAAACCCGCAGGCACGAGGAATCTTGGAAGTCGGAGAGAGAGAGAGAGAGAGAGGAGAGGTGAGATCGGAGTCCGGCAGCGGGTTCTGCGGATCAACCCGCTTGCCCGCTTCGCTCGGAGAACGTGGCGCGTGCTTCGCTTCCGCGCTGCTCATCAACGAGCTTCACCTGCAGCTGCCGCTCGATTGACATCAACACCAATTCTACCTTACCGGTGACCAACATCGAATCAATACATTGGTCCTGCATCATCAAACTTCACACCGACATCGTCTCAACCCAAACAAAATTGGACCAGTCCGCCACTCCGCACCTTTCAATTGTCCGCCGCCATGTCGGACGGCACCATTCTGAAGGCCGACAAGGACTTCACCAAGGAAGTCGATGCGCTTCTTCCAGACGCTGAGAAGCTTGCTAAGGTATGCATGGCCTTACAACTCAACCCGCTCCACTTATTTCCGACTAATGAAATCCACAGGATGGACAAACACAGGCGGCAATCGAGAAGCTGCTCAGTCTCGAGAAGCAAACCCGTCAAGCTTCCGATCTTCCCTCCACCAATCGCCTCTTGATCGCCATCGTAACCATCTCCAAGGACTCCGGCGACTGGAGTTTACTCAACGAGCAGGTGCTCTTGACCAGCAAGAAGCATGGACAGCTCAAGCAGGCCATCACCAAGATGGTCCAGGTCGTCATGACATTCCTCGATAGTGCGCCGAGCATGGAGGTCAAGTTGAGCGTGATCGAGACGCTACGGACGGTCACAGAGGGCAAGGTATGACATGGAAGAGCCTTTACGGCTGTGATTATGCTGACGCGGACGACTGGTAGATCTTCGTCGAAGTAGAGCGAGCGCGTGTTACCAAGATACTGTCTGATATCAAGCGGTCCCAAGGCGACGTCACCGCGGCCAAGGACATTCTGTGCGAGTTGCAGGTCGAGACGTTCGGATCGATGAGCCGGAGAGAGAAGRCGGAGTTCATCCTGGAACAAGTTACACTCTGCATTCAAGATGGCGATTGGACACAAGCAGGCATCCTCGGGCGCAAGATCAGCACACGCTACTTCAACCGCAAGCCCAAGAAGACCGCCGAGGAGATTGAGAAGGAACGCAAGGAAAAGGAAGAGCGGGAACGTATGCGCTCCGATGGCACAATTGGTGACGATGAGCCTGTGGACGACGATGTCACCGACCTCAAGTTGCGCTTCTACGAGCAGCAAATCACGCTGGCCAAGCATGACGACAAGTATCTCGACGCCTGCAAGCACTACCGGCAAGTGCTAGACACCGAAGCCGTGGAGAACGATCCTGAGAAGCTACGCGCGGCCCTCCAGCGTGTTGTCTACTTTGTTCTCCTCGCACCTTACGACAACGAGCAGTCAGACCTCCTTCACCGCATCCAGAAGGACTCTCGCATTGCCACATCATGCCCTGCCGAAGCCGACCTACTCAAGCGCTTCACCATTCACGAACTGATGCGTTGGCCGGCGATTGAGTCCAACTTTGGCGCTCAGCTCTGCGGCACCGATATCTTCGACCAGAAGGCCTCAGATGCAGATCCCAAGGCACACACACGGTGGTTGGACTTCCGCAAGCGCGTGATCGAGCACAACGTCCGCGTCATTGCCAAGTACTACACCCGTATTCACTTCGACCGCCTCACAACACTCCTCGATCTGCCGGCTGGCGAGACGGAGAAGTACATCTCGGATCTGGTGACCAGCAAGACAATCTTCGCCCGCATCGATCGACCACTGAAAATCGTGACTTTCGAGAAGAAGAGAGATGCGGACGAGATTCTAAATGAGTGGAGCGCGAATACGAAAACTCTCCTGGAGCTTTTGGAGAGGATTGACCATCTGATTACCAAGGAGGAAATGATGGCGAGGATTAAGCCGTCGGGCAAATCCAGTGCCAAGGCCTAGGAAGCTGCGGTGACGAGAAGACCCAGCGAAGGTGAGGATGAGTGGCTGGGCGGTGAAGCGCCGGTGCTAGTTGAGAAATGAATAATGTGGTCTCTGTAGCATTGAGCAGCTTTTCGACGCTGAATAGGCCTCTCGGCGGTTAATCTGACTGTATCCTGTAGAGAGCACAGAAGTCAATGCACTGCATTTCAAAAAGAAAGATAATCTCCAAGGAGGCATCTCGCAGCGAGAGTGGATTTCACTCCTCTCTGGAGGCTGCTGGACTACCGCGTACATGTGCTGTCTAGAGAAATGCCTACAGATTCCAGTTCTTAACGACCAAAGGTTCGACTTCTCCTCATTCGTATCGCTGTCATCGCACCTTTTTACTTGCCCTTCCTATGTTATCCGAATGTTTTGGCTCTCGTTGCTGGACCTGTTGTCAGTGGACCCGTCAGGCCGCTGACCCATTCATTGGACACCCTACTGATGGAATGCCACCGTGTGGCACAGCTTGAATCTTCCAACCTGGCCACTGGGTTGAGGCCCTGCCATATTGCTTGTTCCCGCCTTGCCTCCTACCAACAATATGGGTGTGGCTGTTCTCGATAGGCTGCTGAATCGTTAATCTCGGGCGTTTCCTGTGAAATGTCTCGCTCATGCCAGCATCTCCCAAAGTCTAGCCTGCTGCGCACAATTTGATACAACATTTCGCAGGTGAGCTAATGATTCGACGACTTAAGAGAACAGTATTTCACTGTGACTCTGATACGCCAGCGACGAGATCTTGACGGCAAGACGGCCCCCATGCCGCTACTAGGAACTAGGTAGTTCGTCCCGTGCCGTCCTCTTCCCGCTCGCTCACCTCGAGCTTATTTGCGGGTTCGCGTCCCGAAGTGACGAGTCCGCATTTCTTTCGCAGTCGCCATCTCCATCTCCCTGATTGTGATTCTCATAAACGATGAGGCCCAGAGCGGCCCTTGGTGTGCTGAACCACTGTTGTGGGAGCTCTGGTCTGCGAGCTCTCGCAAAGTTAACCCGACCGCGCAAGGAGCTCACGGTCCTCCAGGTCAAAGGTTGGAAACTCCATGAGCCCACGCCTGGTAACCGCCATGGAATCTCACAAGAAGAGGCCGAAACAATACTCCGAGAGAGTTGGGCTGGGAAGAGTTTCTGCGAGATTGCGCGCCTGCTTGTTCGAGCTAGAAGCCCAATCCAAAGAACATTTTACCGCCATGCAGGTCTGGCATGGAGCACGGAAATTGACGAGATTTCAAGACTAGGCACAGTCAAAACGATTTGGGCGAAAATTGGTAAGATTGAAGGGCAGACGGTATACAGGGTCGTTCAAAAATGTTCCTCGAGCTACGCCATGTCCCTGTCCGCATTGAAGATGTCTGAGACATTGCTGATTCGCTTTGTAGGAGGCTCACCCGCAAGTTCGATATCGCGTATTTACAAAGCATATCGACGCCATATAATAGACGACGACGCTACCGATAATCAGAATTCTGGTGCTGCTTGGCCCTCCGCTGCGATCAAGCAGCTAATACACACGCGCCACAATCTCAGAATGCCCCGGAAGTCCATTGCTCTTGTGATGAATAGGACCGAGGCGTCGGTTACAGAGCGATATCACCAAGAGAATCGCACGCTGCCTCGCGGACCCCCGACATGGACCAGTGAAAAGGACCTTCGGCCTGTCACTTCTCGAGGAGAGAAATCATTTTCATGGAAGGATGCGAGACAGGCTCTACCAGTACGAACTTTGGCGGCGAGCCGGAGATGTTCTCTCGTGGTGAAGTCCAGCGGTCCTTTCCATTCGCGATCCTTTTCAACAGCCGTGCCGCTGGTCAATCATCACCATCGAGCCTCAACCAATATGATACTTCTCGGTTCAACTGGGTCTCCACGCGGTGGGGTGATTGAACCCTTCCCAAGACGAATTAAAGCCGATCATCAACGTCGCTTTGTTCACACGCCGGTGCGAGTTACACCCTTCGGCGAGGAGGAGAATAAGATCATAGTGCAGCGGAGACGAGAGCTCGTGTCTTTCCCTGATATTGCAACTGAGCTTAAGCGCCCTTCCGTTGATAGCGTACGGTCTCAATTCTATAGGCTAGTCGCACGTGGTGAACCTGGGAAAATCAGGAGGCGACTAAGCCCTCTGTCGGTTGCCGACTACGACGATATTGCGCACAAGCGAGCGGCCGGCGTTCCGTGGCCGGACATTGGTCCAGTGTATGATCGAACAGCCTGGACATGCATGGAACTGTATAACCAGCATAACAAGCATAGGCTACAACCACACCTCAAGGACCTCCCAAAGCGATTGTGGAACAAAGCCGAGATCTCGGAGCTTTTTGACCGCCGCGATCGTCTTGGTCAATCATGGCCTGAGATTGCTGACAGGCTGCATAGGAGTCAAAAGGCGGTCTACTCAAAATATGGGCAGGTSAAGTTGGATGGTAAAGCTGACCAGTCCAGGGGCAGCAACGAGTATTCCTCGGAGGAGGATCACGTCATTTGTTATTTGCGGGAGTTCCTCGGCCTAGCATGGAAGGAGGTCCACCTACGGCTATCGAAGCGGTCCGTCGCATCTCTGCGGAGACGTTACCATGGCCATCTCGCGCCAAGGAGCGTTTGCTGTTCCGACAAAGCATCTTCAAGATTTGCACGCGCGGACTACGCCTTGCTCCATGATTTACACTGCAAACAACAGCTCCATTGGGATGCTGTGCAGGAGAAGATGCCGAATTGGACGATCAAGGACTTGCAGGATCGGCATGCGCTCCTGATCAAGTGGCCTCCATCATCAACGAGTTGCTCCTCCCTTCTCGAACCACGGCAGACTCGCAAGTTCACAACTGTCACGGAGAGCTCGACGAGCTATTTCGGAACACGTGCAAAAAAAATTCAAGTATCTGCAAGGAACAACACTTTCGGGACTTCGACGATTCCTCTGAGAGGGCAATCTAGGTGTTACAATGTGTCTTCCGTCCGACACCCGCCACCGTCTCTACATTGCTTTATCCCATCGGACATGCACCTCGTGCATCGTGGAGCTACGTTTGGCAAGCCGCAGAGAATTCGGTGCATTTTCACTCTTGCTTCCAAAGAAGCTGCACCACCGGTACCCGAGCAGTCAAGGAACAGACCCTTTGACGATGCTGAGGTCGAGATTATTATCAAGAGGAGAGAGGAGGGCAAGTCCTACCCAGAGATCGCGATGGAGATAGGCCGTCCTATTCCAAGTGTCGCGAGTAAGTTTCGCTGGTGGGCGGCAAAGACTGGTCAGGAGCATTTGATTCGCAGAAAATCCCGAGTTGGAAGATGCGACCACCGGACTATCAAAGAGATGAAGAATTCAGGGATGAGTTGGCATGAAATTGCTACGAAAGACGGCCGAACTGCAGCACACCTATCAGCGTATTACCRTCTTCAGGAAGCAACCCTGGCGCTGGAGGATGCCTCTGCGTTGAAGTCTATACCGAGAAAACCCTCCTTGCACCGCAAGCCTTTCAGTGACAACGAGCTGAAGATTCTGATGCACGATCGCGATGTCCTGAAAAACTCATGGGCGGAAATTGGACAACAGCTCGGACGATCGCCCTGGAGTGTGAGAACTAAATATCATTCCACTCGATCGAAGGGTTCCGTCAATCGCCCCTCGAGTCTCAAGAGGATTTACTCGCAAGAAGAATTGAGCATGCTAGCAGATATGCGTAACGTTCAGAAACTGCCATGGAAAACGATTCAGCTTTCCATGCCGGAGAGATCAATTGTCGCGCTTGCAGATCGCCTCAAGAGAATGAACGCGGAACGTCAGATCGCGCTTCAGGCGTCGAAGAGCTCTGGCCAGCCACCCGAGAGTGAGCAAGGCGTGAAATCTGGGGAAGAGCATCAGAGCGTGCCTGGCCATATTCGACAACATGGTGGCTGACACGCTGCGATCTCTTTTGACAGACTGATGAGGGCTTTGTCGGAACATGAAGCGTCTCACTTTGAAACATTTACAATATGCGCATGCTGTGTGAACATACGGATGCAAGGAAAGTCCTTGACGCGGATACTGTGCACCCGCCCGATTTTCCACAGTATGGGGGAGAGAACAAAATCTTGGTACCTCATCCATACACCTCTACCATAGAAGGATCGGCAATTCGAGTGGGCTCTGCGATCGATGGCTTATCGTCTCACAAGACTGGAGTTGTAGTGCCATCGATGCGATATTGATCGCGGTATGCGACGCACTAGAACAGCTGATACTGCTGTCGCTCCCAGGAATGGCCAAGTCTGCAATGTTGACTTCGATGCAGAAGAGAAGACTGGCGACCCATGCTGGAAGGCCTGGCAAACATGTGCTTGAACATTGCAGTCATGTCATGTCACAAGCAACTCTGGATACAATTCACACTGGAAGGCCGCCCACATTTCATATGTTATCGATTGCGCAACGCGCGCGCACCTTGGAAGGTGAACATGTCACTGAATCAACGACATTTCCCAGACTGCTGCCTGGCACCTTTGCCCGTGATTTTCGAGTGAATGAAGTCGCGGTCGCCGATGTTTCGAACAAATTCTACAAGCTTATTCCGACCCAGCCACATCATCACACTCGTTGCACATCAACTGGGATGGAGCAAACGATGCAGTCCTTCAACACTCTCCTGAGYGTGCGAGATGGCTCCTGGTCTTTCCCAGTCACAGCTGCTCCGCCTCTCCCATCTGCTTCTGTGGATCTCGCCACTTCACTTCCAGGCGACGTTGCCACGGCGACTGTGCCGGACATCCAGACAGCTTCTGACTTCGAGGACGAGCATTCATCGACTACGATTGAGCAGCCCATCCTTTCCAAACCCATCCCGCCATCAACGCCCGTGAAGAGCACCAAGAAGTCTCGGAAGCGCAAAGTCACCGATCCTGATGGCGAATACAAGAGCTCCGGCAACAAGAAGAAGCGCGCAGCACCTACTCCGACCAAATCGAAACCCAAGCGCAAGACCTACGACTACCTCGCCGAGACCGACTACAAGCCCACTTCGAAGGTCGTTGTGGAGTACACTATCGACGACGAGATTGACGATGACCCCGACATCTGCCATGATGACTGCGAGGAAAAAGATGAACAGGACATGATCCATTGTGACGGAGAGGCTTGTCGTCTTGGTGGGAAGTGGTTTCATACTGGATGTGTTGGGTTCGACGGGCCTTTGCCATCGAATATCGAGGATTTTGAGTGGTACTGTCTGACTTGTCGCGAGGAGCTTGGTGTTGGAGAGGATACGGATGGGTTGATCTATCGCGCTGATTCGGGGATTGGAGATGACGGGGATGTGAAGGTGGTGAGTGACGATTTGTGCCCCTCATGCTTGGGACTGTTCATTTTTCTGACAATTCTTAGGTGGCGAGACGTCTGCGTTCTGCGAGTGGATTGTAGATCAATCACACTCTACATTGTTACTACCTGCTGGGTCTCAGGAATGGCAAGGAAGGAGAGACGTGTTCGGTTGGATCAACTACAGTCTAGCACGAGCTCTTCAAATCACGGGCGTGATTACGAAACTACAATGGGCTCTCAAACACCCGGGGCATTTTGTTGGGATCTAGCAGAGGCTGGAGGCGGATTCGAGACAAACAACGGCTGAAAGCAAACCCTACTTTTCCAGTGTACTCGGTGTTGCAACATTGCATCACATACTCCAACTCAAGGAAAAGAGCTATGCCTGGCGAGGATCGTGTCATGGTCTTACTTTCGGAGCGACTCGGTCTTGTCAACAACGAAACGATCTTACCCTTGTAGGCAATAGGCGTCCTAAGTGAACGCCACCTGAAGCCTGCTGAGTGAGCCTGATGGTTCCGCCTTCCACTTATTCGAGCTTTGTGCAGCTCATCGGGCTTCATCAAGGCGACGCCGGCAACGCCTGGATGTCTTCGGGCTATCAAGAAATGCAATAGTCACCCCGATCATGAACTCAATCGGAATAGTGAGTCCAACTGCAAATTCGATGTGCTAACTCACAGACTGCTCGACGATCGCACGAAGGAGATAGGACAGTATAGAGCGAGTCTGGGTGGGAACAGCTGCCTCTCTACAGCGACTCTTTGCATCAAAATTTGGCGCTCTGCTGAATCCTGGATGTGTGGTGAGATTATCCCGGACCCCTTTCACGATTGTTCCAGGGTCGTGATGTACTCCTGCATTAGCGTGGAATCTGTGAAGACACGGTAATGGCTTTCACGTGACATTTGCAGTGCCTGTTTGTGGACTAGACCCGAGATCCAGCTGTTTCTGTTGCATCTCTCTGAGAGGAAGGAGTGGTGGACTAAACCGGTGTGTTACAATGGGTCTTACTTCATTGAGGACTCTGTACATTACATCAACATGCACACGTTGTCCACCATCCACGAACATCTCATTTCATCTCTCTGGACTGGAGGTTGTGAGAACCCACAGACTCCTCCCGAGCATGCCAGCTGTGGTGAKTTGGCAGCGGAGCCGCCTCCCCGAAAGAGCACAGGAGCTGACCGAAGCCTGTGGCACCATGGCGCATGCACAAGACATCGTGGGCTAATTGCCGAATAAGTCATTTCATCACCAGAACTGCCCTGTACACCCACAGGAATAGGAAGCAGGCTGTGGTGCTCGGTGTAGGCGCACGGCGCTGCCGGCCTTCGCTGGTCGAGCCTCCCAACTATGATTCGAAACGCCCCCTACTTGCCGGGGCGCCTTTCCCCTTCGCTGCCTCTATATGATGTACGTCGGGCTCGTCTACTAAATGCAGTCCCGGTTCTTAATCAGTTTGATGCTCTACCACATCTGGTACAGTATAATTGGTGTTGCAGTTCTGCCGCTTCTCACTCCAAGCCGCCTTCTCCTCAAACGTCGCTCACATAGCCATGGCTGACAAGTCAGATCTCGACCAAATCTGGAACTGGAACTCTGAATTACCGACAAGCTCAGAGAAACTTGTCCATGATCTCATCAGCGAAGTCTGCAGAGAACGACCCTCAGCGTTGGCTGTCTCTGCATGGGACGGCGATTGGTCGTATGAGCAACTGGATGCCATCTCAACCCAACTGGCGAACGAGCTCCGGCGACAGTCTGCGGCACTCGGGCCTGGAATCGTCGTGGCTCTCTGTTTTGAGAAGTCAAAATGGACCCCTATCGCGATACTGTCCGTCATGAAGGCTGGAGCAGCATCGATGCTGCTAGATTGTGGTACTCCTCTGCCGTTTTTGGGYCAGATTGTCCAAAAAACGAAACCAAATATACTGCTTGCCTCCGCGAAACACTGGGAGCTGGCCAAGTCCCTTGCGGCTGGTCGTACCACAGTCAAGCTTGATATGGACGCTGTGGACAGGCTCAGCGCTAGCACTCACAATAACGAAGTGGCTCCAACTATAATTGCCTCGGACACGCTTTACATTGTCTGTACCTCTGGAAGTACCACCGGCATCCCGAGAGCTGCCATCATATCTCATGCAAACTTCAGCAGTGCGATTCTGCATCAGCAAAAGGCCCTGGCAATTTCATCGCACTCGCGTATCTACGACTTCTCGTCTTATGGCTTCGATGCTACATGGTTCAATATTCTGCATGCTCTTACAAGCGGCGCCTGTTTGTGCATACCTTCGGATCAGGAACGTCGAAACGAGCTTTCTGAGTCCATCATAAGGTTCAACGCCACCTGGATCGACTTAACACCGTCTGTTGCAAGGCTACTTTCGGAGGAGGCCATTAGCAGCCTTGATACACTGGTCATAGCCGGAGAGCCGGCACAAGAAGCAGACGTGCGTCACTGGCAACAATCAGTGAGTTTGATTAATGTCTATGGACCGTGCGAGTGTACTCCAACAGCCACGATAGCTCAATTGGAACGAAATCAGCAGTTCGGGGGAACTATCGGCCGTGGGCATGGCGTCAACTGCTGGGTACTTCAGCTCGGAGATTGTGATAAACTTGCATCGATAGGTGAAGTCGGCGAGTTATTCCTCGAGGGTCCACTGGTAGGTCAAGGCTATATTGACGAGCCGGAGCAATCCAAACATGCCTTTGTGCAAGACCCACCTTGGCTCACGAGTGGTTCCAGCTGTGTGGACGGACGGCATGGATACGTTTACCGGACGGGTGATCTTGTCCGTCTCGGTGCAGATGGCAGCTTAGCCTTTGTTGGCCGCGCGGATAACCAGGTCAAGATAAACGGTATCCGCACAGACTTGGGAGAGATCGAACATCACGTTCAAAACGTTCTAGACGGCAGATTTGGTGTCTTTGTCGATCTCGTTGTACCGCGAGATGTCGAGAAGCCATGTCTCGTTGCCTTCCTCGAGATAGGTCTCCCATCGGCTGAAGGACTGTTTCAAATGTCGGACTTGAAGAATGCAGCTCAGGGAAAACTCAAGGAAATTCTACCTCACCACATGGTGCCGAGCAGCTTTATGGGACTGGGCCGTTTTCCTCGGTCGTCTTCTGACAAGACAGACCGAAGAAAGTTGCGAGCAATGGCAGAAGCCATGAAGCAAAGCGAATTGGTGGGATCCAAGCCGAGGGATCGGGAGTCACCACAAATTCTGAGCGACGCAGAACGTTGCCTTCGAACACTGTGGTCCAACGTCCTTGGAGTGGCCAAGAGCAAGCTTACCATTGACGACAACTTTTTCGAGCTTGGAGGTGATTCCTTGATCGTCATGAAGCTCGTGAAGGAGGCGCAAGACATAGGTCTCTATTTGACTGTCACCATGGTCTTCACATTCCCAAACCTGCGAGAGCTAGCAAGGGAGGTCACCAAAACTGGACACCAAGCGAAGGCCCATGACTCTCACGTCATGGCTGACAACGTCCTCACTGAGAAGTCGATGTTGATGATCGATGAGGCATCAAAGTTGTGCTCGATTGACCGTGGCCAAATTGAGACTATGTACTCCTGCACTCCACTTCAGGAAGGTTTATTGGCCTTAACATCCCGTCGCCAGAGTGATTACATCTTACGCGAGACCTTTCACTTACGTCCCGAAGTTTCGACAACTCACTTCAAAGAGAGCTGGGAAAGGGTTGTAGCAACTACGCCTATACTGCGCACCCGGATCGTTCATGTTCCTCGCCGAGGACTGTGCCAGGTCGTTGTTGATGAGCCGGCGAAATGGTATGCTGCAGACCGTTGTCAAGAGTTTTTCGCGAAAGATCGACTACCGCGGATGGACTTGGGCACTCCACTGATTCACGTGGGCCTGGTGGAAGAGCCTTCGGCGAATTACTTTGTTCTTTCTGTGCACCATGCTCTCTATGACGGATGGTGTCTCGAGTTGATCCACGAACGATTGGCTTGTGCTTTACGAGAAATGCCACTGGAGCTGCCTCCATCTTTCCAAGGATTTATCAACAAAGCTGTCGATTCTATTGCGGAAGCTGCTCCAGCGTTCTGGGCTAGCCAAATGGCTGGCTTTGAGGGCGTTGTCTTCCCTCGATTACCCAACGCCCCATTCCAGCGAACAACCAAGAGCACTTTCCATCACACGTTCAAGGGGCTACAGTGGCGTCATACTCCGTTCACCCCAACCACATTTATCAGAGCTGGATGGGCACTCACTGTATCCCGCTACGACAGGACTGATGATGTTGTTTTCGGAGTGATTTCAAACGGCCGCAAGGTTGCGGTTGATGGCATCGGCAATATGGTAGGACCAACTATCGCAACGCTTCCCTTCCGTTCAAGGAGCTATGCCGGCAACAGCACGGTTCATCAGTTCTTGCAGCAGACGCAAGATACTGGCACGGCGTTGACGCGATATGAGCAATACGGCCTGCAACGTATACGTCGCATTTCCACAGATACCAGGAGAGCTTGTGAGTTCCAGACTCTGTTGATCGTGGAACAATTGACCGGGGCCTCATGTTCCGCTCTCGACGATTTCACGGTTTCCCCCTCGAACAAGGATACCGATGACAGAATGAAAGAGATCAAAAGCTTCGACACATATGCTTTGTGTATCACCTGCACGTTCGATGACGACTATGTGCATGTCGAGTTTGAACTCGACGATTCTGCCTGCAAGTCTATTCAACCAAAACGACTACTTGCAAGCTTTGAACATGCTTTGCAGCAGTTGTGCAATCCAAACAACAAGATTGTCCCCCTTCGGGAGCTCGACAGTCTCAGCCCCTTGGATCGCAAGGATATCCTGATGTGGAATGCGACGCAACATGAGCCTTCTCGCTCAGGTGTCAAGGAGCTTGTGGAAATTGCTGCGAGGGAACATTCGTGTAAAACGGCAATCTCTGCTTGGGATGGCGAATTGTCGTACGAGGAGCTTGATCGATCGTCGACCAATCTCGCTCGAGACTTGGTGAACAGGGGCGTGACATCAGGTTCAATAGTGGCGATAATGTTGACCAAGTCCAAATGGGCGGTGGTGATAATTCTGGCTGTGATGAAGGCAGGCGCTGCATCAATGCCATTGCATAGCGCAAGAGAAAAGCATGAGCGGGTCGCCGATATTCTGCGAAGAGTACAGCCCAGATTCCTACTGACCTTGCTAGAGAACCAAGATTTGGCGATGGTGCTGCCCGATTCCTGTACGCACGTTCGCCTCGATTCTTGTCGACTCCTCGCGATTCCTGATTTGCACAGCATTGAGCTGCCAGTGGTCAACCTCGAAGACCCACTTTACATTATCCACACATCAGGAAGCACAGGAGTACCAAAGGGCGTTGTCATTACGCATTCCAACTTCGCAAGTGCCATCAAGTATCAGCAAAGTGCGCATGGTTTTCGCCCCGACTCTCGCGTCTTGGATTTTGCCGCATATACCTTCGACGTGGCCTGGTCAAACATCTTCCATACGCTGACCGTGGGCGCTTGTCTTTGCGTACCATCAGAGGACGAAAGACAAAATCTCCTTCCAGCGGCCTTCGAAAAGTACAGTGTTACCCACGCAGACCTGACTCCTTCGGTTGCAAGATCACTTCCGCTTTCGAACATAGCACGACTGAAAACCCTTGTGCTCGGAGGCGAGGAACTTCGCTATGAGGACGCAGCTCGATGGGCACCACTTACTGTGGTCAAGAACCCATTCGGACCGAGTGAATGTACACCTACAGCTACCATTACTGATGTAGAATTCTCATCAGAGCAAGACTCAGAGATTAGCATTGGCAAGGGTCTGGGTGTGAATACTTGGATCGTCGATCCTGACAATCATGATTCACTCATACCAATCGGTTGTGTGGGCGAGCTGCTATTGCATGGCCCAATCGTTGGACCGGGCTATCTCTACAATGAGGAGAGAACGAATGCGGCTTTCGTGGTCGATCCCCCCTGGCTCCGTGACTCGGAGGTACCACATGCGAGGCTATACCGAACCGGTGATCTGGTACGATACGGCTCGAGAGAAGGTGAACTAGTCTTCGTAGGACGCAAAGATAACCAGGTAAAGATCCATGGCCAGCGAGTGGAGCTTGCAGAAATCGAAGGCTTGCTTGCTCGGGTCCCTCACGTGCAGCAGGTAGTATGCATGATACCTGAGGGCCCTTGGAAGAAGAAGCTTGTAGCCGTGGTTGCCTTGGATGGATTCTGCGATGCTGAAAACGAGGGAGAAGATATCAAATTACTTGTGCAGACAGAACCGCTGGCGCGACTGGCGAGCATTCGGAGTGAAGCGGAGAAGACCCTACCATCCCATATGGTGCCATCCAATTGGATCCCAGTCAACAATATACCGCGGAATGTATCTGGGAAGACAGATCGGAAGCGGTTGGTCGACTGGGTTTCTGCATTGGATGCAAACGAGACTTGCCGGAGTGCCTCGAGCTCTGATACCACAAGGGCTCGCCACGCTCGAGATCAAAACGAAACGCTCATTCGGGAAGCCTGCGCCCACATTTTGAATGTTCCGAGTGAACGGATCGATTTGGACGCTTCTTTCGTAGCCAATGGCGGCGACTCAATCACAGCGATGCAGTTGTCATCACATTGTCGAGGGCTTCATTTCTCCATCACGGTTCCTGGTATACTTGGGGCCGAGCGCCTGGCTCAACTAGCTTGTTCTAATGCCAATAAGCCCAAAGTTCCGTCGCTCGATGTGCAAGTCACATCTCCTGATATCTGGTTTGAACTGTCGCCGATCCAGAAATGGTACTTCGACCTCCAGCCAACTGATCTCATTGATGCGAAGAAGCATCGATACRACCAGGAATTCCACATCACCTTCAGCCGTCCCGCGATCGGGAAAACGGTCGCGGCTGCTATAGCGGAAATTGTTCGGCGGCATGATATGCTAAGAGCGCGGTTCATGAAGTCTGAGAACGGTTGGCGACAGCAAATTCTACCATCCACAGCGGTTGACCTCCATCACTTCGAGATTTTTGAGGCGTCTTCGTTTTCAGAGCTCGAGCAAATCAACATGGCGCAGAACCTCAGACTGAGTCCACTCGACGGCCCTGTCTTCTCTGCGGTGTTGGTGGAGGGCCCGGATTGTATGCAGCATCTCTTGATGCATGCACATCACCTGGCTGTCGATTTAGTGTCGTGGCGAATCGTTCTTGGCGATCTGGAGAGCATTCTAACAGCAGGGAGTTCGCCGTCAACGCCGTCGATGTCATTCATCGCTTGGAATGAGTTGCAAATWCGCAGAGCGCAGTCCCCGAATCTCGATCCAGATCGCGTTCTGCCATATGCAAAGCATGTGTCCAATAATCTCCTTTTCTGGGAATTCGACGAACTGAAAACACCCAACCGAGAGCCAGACCAACTTTACCTCAATCTTGAGCTGGACACTGAAACGACTGCCCTCCTCACTCATCAAGCCAATACTACCATGAGCACAAACCCCCAGGAACTCATATTTTCTGCGGTATGGCAGGCCTTCTTTCAGCAGTTCACAGAGCGAAGCGGTTTCACCATTTTCAAAGAAGGACACGGACGTCAAGCTTGGAGCAGTGAGATTGATTTGACACAAACGGTAGGCTGGTTCACCACAATGAGTCCAATGTATCTTTCTGCAGATACAGCGAGCAGTGTACTCAGCACAGTGCGTGTGGTCAAAGACATGTACCGCAGTCTTCCAGGGCAAGGATGGACGTATTGGGCCTCTCGCTATCTCAACCCTGCAGGTGTCGACGCATTCAAAAAGCATGGCCCTGTGCACGAGATGGAGATCAACTATGAAGGCCAGTATCAACAGCTCGAAAGAGGCGATGGTCTCTTCAGTGTCCTCCACCTGTCCGGAGGGTCTGAGCTCGGTGATGAGTTACCCGCTGGTGCTCTGTTTCGCTTGGCAGTGGTGATTGAGAGTGGAACCACTCAGTTATCATTTATTTGGAACCGACATCTTGCACACCAAGAAAGGATACGTCTCTGGGCCGCAGGTATCGTGCCGGCTTTGCGGAACATCTGCTCGGAACTYGTTGCCATTCAGGGACATCATCTCACACTCTCCGACTTTCCTGAGCTCAAGCTCGATTACCCGTCCTTGGATCGATTGACACAACACGTTCTACCACCGATACAAAGTGCCAATGGCTCGGAAGTTCACCATGTTCTTCCATGTTCTCCTCTGGTTGCCGGCATACTCATAAAGCAGATCAGATCACCTGGAACTTATATGACTTCTGATACGTACAAAATTGGTGCGCATGGTGTATGGGACACAAAGGTCGATATCCACAGCTTGGCAGATGCATGGCAGCAAGTCGTCAATTCTCAGCCCTCGTTACGTACCGTCTTCATCGATGCTGTTGACACAGCTTACGCCTTCCATCAAGTCGTACTCAAATCAGTCAAAGCCCATGTCACTCTTCTGACAGCAGATGATCGACTATCTGCAGAGCAACAACTAAGTGCGATGAATGAGCTACGACCTGGTGGTCTGGAGCCGCCCCATCGACTCCTTCTATGCCAAATGCAGGACACCATGGACATACTTTGTCGAATAGATATGAGCCACGCCATCACAGACGGCACCTCCGGCCCAATTCTACTACAACAGTGGTCTTTGGCTTACAGCGGATCCCATATCGGATCTCCCGATCTCCAAAACACCAGTCGTAATCTCGTGAAGCACTTTGCAGCTGGGCAAGAGCGTGATCGGAAGACTACGTATTGGCGAACCAAATTGAATGCCGTAAGTCCATGCATCTTTCCGCGGTCCACGACGGGCATCCTTCAATCTGCCGTTATCGAGCATCGACAACATACTTCGACCATACGAGGGCAGCTTGCTGTTGACATTCAGGAGTTCTGTACCAAGTCTTCAACCACAGCTGCCAGTGTCTTCCAAGCCGCTTGGGCATGTCTTCTGGGGAAGTACACAACCTCCCATCAAGTTTGCTTTGGCTACTTGACCTCGGGCCGAGATTTGGATATCCCTGAGCTGGAGAATGCCGTAGGTGCTTATACTAATATGTTGGTTTGCCAAGTCGACACATCTGTCGCAAAAGGTACTGTTTTGGTGTGTGAGCTACAACAGCAGATGTTACAAGATTTGGAGAACCAGCATGTCTCCTTGGCGGAGATTCAGCATCAATCTAATACGAGCCTGGGAAAGCCGCTCTTCAATTCCATCGTGAGTATTCAGCGCGCTACTAATGATGATTTCAAAGAGGAGCTCGCTGGAGATACATCTCCTGGAGATGGTTCACTCCGCTTTACATTACTCACAGGCAAAGATCCTTCGGAGGTGAGTCTCAGATGATATCAAACCTTGCGACGAAATGTGTTGGCTAATACCAGATTAGTTTGATATCGTATTGGCAGTGGCATACTCTGCCACTGTCGTTGAGCTTTGCGTTGAGGCTAGACCCGACTATTTGTCGCAACAAGAGGCAGAGGGTATCCTTTCTGCTTTTCAAGATATCGTGGCGGACATTCTGCGCGGAGCGGGTGTGTAATTTTGATCGTAAATTGATGAAATTTCGAATAGAGAGGGTGCGTTGTTTTCGCATGAAACCGCGTGAAATTTAACTCTCGAAAGCTAGACTGCAACAATGACTACTAGTGAGATATCATACTAATGTTTGGCAATTCCAGAAAGAAGGCGTACATTCTCAGACTTTAGTCTTCCCTTTCTTCGCTCACCTTTCCCCAGAACCGGTGACTTCCGTGATCGCCTGGCTGACAACCATAGCCGTACATTGCACACCCCTTCTCCAAGTTATCCCTGGTAATCAGCTCGTCCACAGTCATGCCGATATCCGAAACTGAATCCTTCGAAGATAGAGAGAGACTTCTTCTACTTTTCCCTGAACTGCTTCCACTGCTCGCACGTCATTCCAGGTTTCCATTCTATCAGTTATTGCTACAGTTTAGCCACAGCTGCTTTCCATCACTGGATGTGGTCACGTCCAGGCCACATTTCACATGCAAAAATCATTTGTCTACGACATCTCTCGATTGCTCGAAGAAATCGACTTCCTTGGGATCTTTCGCAGGCGACGGGCTTAGCTACGGAGTGGCTGTTGTGGCTTTCTTGTTTTGGTGACCTTTGTGTTCCTTCTTTCTGCCTATCATGAGTGTTTTGGTGGGATGTACTATGTGCAAGGGTCCGGTGGGCCGTCTTAGGTGTCTGGACGAGCCTGCTGATGCCTCTGTAATCGAGAGTTACTTGAAGACATGCGACGTTGTTTCAACGCCGTACTGTCCGAAAGCTTCTACAACGATGCAAATGTCGCCGCTGTTTTCGGAGGGTAATTTCTCGAACCAGTTTGTGACTTATAAATTAGAGGAACGAGTAGAGATTATACCGCGTGAGACACTCTTTTCCCATCGAATTCAAACATCAAGAACATTGAATGAGGAGGGACATCTCAAAAGAAAGGAGTGCTTCTGCTAGTCTAGAGACCCTTTACAAACCCGATTCTCGGTATCATCCTAAACGGCTTTCGCACCATCGGCCTTCATCAACGTGCCCACAGCTATAAGCACTCTCTTAATCGTCTGTCGCTTCAAGCTGCTATCCTGGGCCTTATCTTGCTTCTTGATGAAAGTTTTCCATGCACTTTTCGTCATTCCAGGCTTCCATTCTTTCAGCCTTTTATACAACTCAGTTGCAAAAGCTGTAGGAGCGGGCAAGGGCCCCCCATAGTTTGTGATGAGTGTATCAAATTCTGTCATGAATGCTACTTCTTCGGCGGACTTGGGTGGAGGTGGGCGTTGTGGTGTGGCAGCCGATTGAGGATTCTTTTGATGGTTCTTGTTCTTCTTTCTTTTTTTGCCTCCCATATTCTGTAGTTCTATGGGTCGATTTATCGTCTGATGATGTTATGATGTCTATAAAGATGTTTTTGAGGCCAGAGGACGTGGCATGAACAAAGCGCGGTGGCAAGCTTTCTACCAACATGTAGATCCTACGACCAAATACTTTCAGGGGTCTACACCAGTCGATAGCAGCGTCTCGGAGAATTTTAATTTGACTCATGTCTTTGAGTCTCATCATGTATCCCAAGGACAGAGCTAGGAGCAAGATCGGTCAGGGAAAACCACATTCATGGCGTCCTCGGAACAATATTTGTTCCGGTCCAGCGGCCAGATCTCCTGACTTGGACAGAACTCATCTTCACCAAGTAAATCTAGTAATATCACCACCATGGTCAACCGCCACTGATCTTACTCATCTGGCTTCGACGACCGACTGGTGACCTCAAAACAAGAATTWCAAGACCTCCTCATCACTCTCAAAGATAACAAGCTCCGGCTCAAACAGCATCGAGCAGAACTAGTCGCGAGAGATGCAGTACGGGACCCCGTTGCTATCAGTTCGCAGAAGTATTGCGCACCTGAGCTATTCTACGATATCGACAACGATGTTCATCCCATGGTCCAAGCGTCTGGTTCGGAAACAGATCTTCATCGATCGAATTTCAAGTCTACCAATCTGATTATCCGACTCCCCAGGGTGATAAGCTGCTGAAGAGATCCGACTGTCAGGGGACAATTGTACGGAAATGGACACTTTGCAAATGAGTCCAAATGGCATCACGAGTGCCCACGCATCATCAACTCGCACACAGGTTCTTGCTCTTGTGATACATCCGAAGCTCAATCGATGATTACCCATCCCCTCGTCCTTTTCATTCCAATTCCACCAGCAAAATACCTTGCAGTACCTTACAAGCATCCACAATGTCCAGAATCACCGAAATAAGCCCTATCAAACCCTTCCCACTCCAGTTCTTAGCCTTGAAACAAGAATACGAATACCTCCATCRCCAACAACGTAACCTCATCGCAGCAGTCACAGAGTGTCAACCTCACCAACCTTCTCAAAGAAATACATGGGTTCCCTTCATCGTCACTTGGAAATATCATACCCTTGAAGACCTATCGAGCCAGGATTGGGGTGTTAAGTCATTGTTGAAGATATGGGAAGCAGAGCGTACTTCTCTTGGGAGATCTATCGAGGGACTGCGGGAAGAGTATCCGGAGAGGAGTGGTGAGCTGGATAAGCTGTGGCTTAAAGTCATGGGGTTGGCGTTGGTGACTAGAGTTGAAGCGAGGAATACGGAGGGTGTTCAGGGGAAGGGAACGAAGAAGATCATGAAGCGGCAGAGGAATTGACAACGAATTGCAATGGTGGATAATTACGTAGTGAATAAGGCACATGTTGAATTCCACGAGACACGCAGGTCTCTCAGTCATGTCTTCACGACCTCAAGGCAAACTCCAACATGACTTTCCACACCCCGAAACCCTCCCGGAATGAAGAGATGCATGGCAACACTTGATATCGAACGATAGCATATCGATAATTAACACCATCAAAAGACAACTACCATCCCGCTCAACGACATTCTCGGAAGAGCTTTATGCGCGTAAGACTGTCTCCTTTCTTCATCCCTACTTCTCCCCAGCATCCTCCCCATCCCTCCCCCCAAACACAATCCCCATCTTCCTGGCCTTGAGAAAAACACATTCCGCGCGATCAACCGCCTCCAAAACTCTCTTCATACATTCCTCCTCTCTACCTTTCATCTCCTTGATCAACGACTTCCACTTCAAAATCTTGGCCGCAGGGATCCACGCTTCTAGTTCCTGCATTACTGGCTCGATAGTTTCGCCACTGACGTATGATTTATTCGCTCGCTCGAAGATGTCGTCGACGAGATCCTCTAGCGCTTCCCAGAAAGCATTTTCCTCGGCGGAAGGTGCTTCTTTTGTGGGAGTAGTTTCAACGGACTCGGCAGCTTGCTCCTCATCTTTCTTCTCCTCCTCTTCTAAAGCTTGTGAGGCGGGAGGAAGTTTATGGCTCGATTGGACTTTTGCCTTGATTTCCGAATTGGTGGTCATTATTGTCTAATCGGATTTGGTTGGGGTGTTTTGATTAGAAGGGGAATGAACAGCTACGAGGTGGTGATGTGTTGTTCAAGTATGTTGCGAAAAGGTTTGCTACCTCGTAGAGTTGTAACAAGGAAATGGAAATGGTTCTTACTCTTCTGATTCCTATCACTGTGTTTGTTTTTTCGCTTGTTTTTTTTTTATTTGTGTAGAGGGGCATGGCGCGGAAAGAAAAAGCTATGTGGAAGGATAAAGAGTTCGGAAGAATGGGAGGAGGGAGAAGTAAGACATATCTAACATTCGTGATTGTATACGTGGGCGGCTACCCATCTGCATCAACGAACGAAATAAGCGCCACGGTAGAATATCTAAGCAATCCTCCATCCTTTGCCTACCATTTCTAATTACGGAAGGGAGGGAGATATTCGGATAAACGTTGTTCCGGAAGTCGAAGTGAATCCGCTCTGCCTATTCAAACAGCCACGCATCCTCCCTCAGTAACAGAGGACTGGTGACTGAGGTTACTTGTGCTCTGTGAAGCTCCGTGAACCTTGATGCATTCGTCAATGGCTTTCGTTTCGGGAGTGGTAAAAGGAGAGTGTATCTGCGTGCCGAGCCACAAGCTTCTGATTGGACGGAGACACATMACGACACGCCACACGCTAAGCCACATCACGTCTTGCCGACTCTGCGGAACCATTTGATATCCACCCAGTGAATGACCTTTTCTATACCATATGCTCATCAAAAGCGTCTCCCCGATATCGTCTTACGTTCCCCCTCAACACCATTGCTGTGGTAATCTCAGGGTTAAACGCTCGACGGAGTGCTGCAAATCTCGAACTTATGGCGCTACTAAATAACATCCTTCAGACGATAGCAGATCTGCTACCAAACGAGAATGTCATGAGCGTCCGTCTAATCAATAAGCTCTTCAAAGCGAATGCCCTTCTCCGAATTCCCCGTGTCTACATATCCCCGAACCGCAAAAACTAGAAGTCCTTAAGTCGGTTGCTACGAGTACCGAGTTCCGTAATCAAGCCAAGGAGATGGTATGRGATGACGTGTCTCTACCAAACTGGTATCTTTCTCACACCGACAAGCACGACAAACTTGGCTCACTTAGCTGCCAGCCACGTTCGAAACCTTGGAGTTTGTGGCGGTTACAGCACATCTCGAACCATCATGACGTCGAATCTTCGACAAGATTAAATACTCGCTTTGCTGGACTGACAATAAGCATATCATCACTTTCGCGGACACGCCATGGATGAAGCACTGGGCGGAAGAACCAAAGTTTCCGAGCTTCCTGAAAGGGGAAGGCGTAAATCCATTCGATGATTTTGGTACATGTCTGGAGGGGACGAGGACTAACTTACCATATTTGACAATCCCGAGAGATACGATCAAAGCTGCGGGGCATCGTCGTCGTCGCTCAAGGCGTCGGCCAACTGGGGCTGTAGGAAAGGAGCGGTCCGTCGGACTACGGAGCTCCGTCGGACCCAGATGAATCAATTCGAACAGCCCAAGACAACAATCGTCATCGACATGGAGAYGCATTGATCTGGAGGTTGTAATTGTATATCTACCCCCTGACCCTCGAGCGTGGACTGTCTTCATTCATCACTCTTTATTTTTTCGGCACGATCAGAAAGTCGAAGAAGTTTTCCGATTTCCAAGCTCAAGCACTCGACATGGGTAGGTCTTCAATACTACTTGACCACGAGCCGGAATACAATCACTAACATTCTGCCATGATCAGACCATAACGCTGTTGGAAGTGTGTGCTTCTATCCATGCTATTTCCTTGCTAGCCGCAGCTCCGACTCATACCTTCGCAGATCGTTTCGTTGACTACTACTTTTCGACGTTCGATAATGTCACTTCCAGACCCACACTGGCATCTCTATACGTATGCACTACGTGGACAAAGGCTGAGGAATGCCTCTGCTGACCAGAAAGATAGAGACAAGAGTCTTTGCTTACCTGGGAGGGCAACCAGGTTCAGGGCGCCGAAAAAATCATGGATATGATCTCCGTCAGTCGGCTTCTATGATTCCGTGATTATGGCATACTAATCCCTACTAGAAACCGAATCTGAAAAATGTCCAAACCCAGGTCGACACAAAGGACATTCAACCCGCTCCTAGTGGGGGAGTTGCTATTCAGGTCACTGGTAAACTGACGGTAGGTCATGCATGGTCCATGGAAGAGTTCATAAAGCCTCTAACGTGTTGGAAAGATGTCTGGTGATTATTTGCCATTCGCTCGGATGTTTGTTCTCCAGCCTATGCCCGGCCAGGAAGGGGGCTTCTTCGTGTACAACGATATCTTCCGACTACGCGTCTAATGGCTGGTATGAGTCAAGATCACCTACTAAGTCTAGCTTACGCCATCACAAGGGCAACTACCTGAGCAAAGTACAAGAATGTGTACAGATGGGAAGTGTTGGCATTACGCAGCGATATCTGTGTACATTAACGCAATGAAGTCGATGGAGACCCTTGTGTTGAATATTTCGCCCACAAGCCGGGCCGCTCTTTTTCCCTTGGCACCAGTGACGGCCCGAGTACCACTACCATATCATGCTCACGCTGTGCTGTGCTCACTTGAAGGCCTGAGCACTGTTGCCCACATTGACGTCGTTCCAGATCATCCCTCGGATTGTGAAGCGTGTCGCTTTTGRCTTCCGCACCGTCTCATCACTTTCATCCACCAATCCCCTCTTTGATGGATTCCTTTGACGTGATTCTTCCTATTCCTCTTATGCTGCAGGAAGAGGAGGGCATTTAGAATCATGAGTATACTTCCACTCAGGCGGTTTCGGCTCTTGACTCCGCCCAGATTCACTATTCCACCACTGACAGGCGATATACATTGGTAGGGTTTCGAACTGCAGCACACGAGCTTTCAGCGCCGTGTCGGGATCCGCTGCATCGCACTGTGAATGATTTCACCAACCAAAGTATTGTAGTCCATACCAGCATTCGTGGCCGTCAAAGGCAGAGCCGAAACGCCCTGACACATGCCGGCCAAAGCATTGATCTGGAAAGAATRTGTCAAGGGCATGCAGCTGGATAATTCGGATGCATTCTAGCATACCTCTAGTACAAAAGGCCGTGCCTCATCGCCTATCCCTTGACAGCGAACGTCGACTCGACCCGCATCATAACATCCGATCGCTCTCCAAGCTTCCAGAGCGAGCGTCTTCACAGTCTCAACGAGAGGATCGATGGACGAGTCCTTGGTGTCCTTGATGATATCCAACCAGGCATTATCGTCATCCTTCAATTCCAGCGCGAGGAAGTCGGTGGTGCTTCCAGGCTTGAACTGGAACTCAACGGCTCCCAAGACCCGCGCCTCTCCTCCCGAACCTAGGATCGACACGGAGAATTCACGACCTTGTAAGAAGGGCTCAATGATGAGATTCTGAGTGGGGAAGCGTTGGCGTAGAGTACGAATCGCTGCGTTGAGATCTTCTGCACTGTGCGCTTTGTTGGAAGTATAGATACCCTTGGAAGAGCCTTCCATAGTTGGCTTCACGAAGACAGCTGGTATCCTCGTCGTAAAGATCTGCAAATCATCTTCCAACCGAGGGAATCTTCTCCGCCATTCTTCGACCCCGAGAGTCGGGACCTCATCTTGCCAACGAATCGTCAAAAAGGGTGCCGTGGCCACTCCTCTGTGCGCTAGAATCATCTTGGTCAACGCTTTGTCGTGTATGCTAGCCAGAGTCGCAGCATTGGAAAAGATGCAGGGTATCTGCCATGCCTCGAGCAAACCAGGCACTTGTGCTTCGCGAGCCGTCCCATGATATCCCTCTGCGGCATTCCACACGAGATCCCAAGCTTTGTGCTCACCGGCAGCGAGAGCTCGAACGAGTTGGAACAAATTTCCCACCCGGATGGGCTTGTGACCGAGCTCGATCATTGATTGTTCCAGGCCTGCAATGACTTCTTCGCTGTCGAACTCTGCAAGTTCATCCACCGGCATACTTTCTGTAATCTCATAGTCGGCTTTGAGGTCGTACGTAAGGGCGATTGTGAGGGACATGTTGGTTGATTGCGAAGTTTGCTCGTGGATATCGTGATAGGGGCTGCAAGTTGGAAAGGGGAGGCCGGACGCATAGGCGGCGACTTTCAGATTGGTTTTGAGTCGGTGTCCACTGCTCCTGCTACACACCACGGCTAGRGTTTACATCTTCACGCATGCGTATCCAATGATTTGAGTTGGACCAAGCCATGGTGTTTGTGGTACTGATCGCTCAGCTAGCACCCCCAACAGTTGGTGACATTGGTTGGAATTCCACCGAACTCTCCGGTAAACCCTCCCCCCGCCTCGGTAGTTGAAGATGGTCAGATGGTGGGTATAGCTCCGACGATAGTCTCCACGGTAGCTGCCTTTGGTTTTGCCGCGGACCTGGCGTCAGGGTAGATCTCCGTAAAGCATGCGACTTGCGCGCGTGAGGACGCTAGATCGGCATCTGGAGCCGTCCCCGAAAACAAATCGCTGCAACGCATCCACCCAGGAGCCGAATGCATGTTGATGCTAAGCCGGTCGGGGTAATTCCATTGACGGGTTCGACTAGAAAGAGGGTGTACTGCGAGGTCTGCCCTGATGTGTCCTTTGTATGACCAGTCACCATGCATCACTTTACGTCACCCTCCGAACAACTCAAAACTCCTTGAGCAAATATCACACACCACCAAGTGGCTTCCTCATATCATTGCGGAGCTGATAAGTCGCACTCCCTTGGTCCTTGAGTGTTGACAAATGGCGGTAGGTACGACAAGTACAAGTACAGCATCACCGAAAGCATGATGATGTCAGATAAAGACACGGTGTACAGAGCAGCCATCACATCATACTTTTCCACCTAGCCCTTCACATGTCATTGCAAGGTGCAGTAGTCCCGGCAATTCTAATAAGCGCATTATCTTCTTCCGGGGTGTGTGTGGGGCCTCCAGATCTACGGAGGAAGCGTGAAGTTTAGACCTCCAGTGGCTACCTAGGTAGCTTTACGAATCGTGCAGTGCACATCACGCTACTTCGCCGTTGAATCTATCGGTGCAGCAAAGTGCCTCGGTAGCGCACACTACGATATGGAGCAAGTTTGTCGTAGGCAGCAGGTATCCCTCTACCGGAATTCCCGCGTCTTTAGGTTCTCTCGCTCGAGATCTACGAGATCTACGAGATCTCGGGACCGCGATGGAGTTCAGTACCCACATTGAAGGATGGTGTAAATCCAGACTTGCCGAGCCGTTCTAGGAACCGGCTTCTATTCGACACGGCTCTCTCCCTTCCATTCCGTCTAACTGTCAACAAGCCAGATATTCTGACGTGGCACGTAGTAACGGGATTTCCATGTTGCAAGATAGTGTCTTTAGTGTCAAAAAGCTGCATGACTAAATGCCTCCAAGGTCTCCAGTCTTCTTATCTMTCCCACCCTCAAAATCACATACTAGTGTCACCTGCTCGACGAAGCCCGACGAGCGTCTTCTTCCATGCATATACTACGCGAAACGCCATGGCTTCTATCGGGTCTATAACATGAACATGAGGCTACAATTCTTTGCGGGTAAGCCGGCAGACCTCTGAGGATGGGAACACGGTAAGCGAATGATGAGGTGTGATTTGATCAAGCATACATGGCATTACACTAGCATCTGATCACGTCCGAGGTTCGCTCCGCTAAATCTGACTCGAATTAAATCTCCGCCTGGTATCTAATTTACATAGATAGGCATACGACATTGATATCTCAACAAAACAGCWTTCTTGATTCGAAACACTCGACATAAAGATATATACAATTATGCATACGAGAATGGCCGAAAAAATGGCAAGGAATCTCGCCGCAAATGTGCRTGGAAAGCTCACTTATCTTTGGCTCCTGTTGACCTAACTTTGTTAATGGGGAAAATGGCACATTCYTATATACACGGCAGACTCTGTAAACAACTGCATAGAACAAGCAGAGTCTCCCCGATCGGGAAACTACGCCAAGACATCCCGCCACAACCATTACTGGCTGCACCTACAAGATTTGTCTCAATCCCGGTCATTCCTCTAATTTTGTATCCCATTTACACTGTTATGTTTCATGGTGTTTGACATCTATCAAGTTAATGGGATTTTCTCTTGCGAGCATCGAATAAGTATACTTACACGAAGAGACTCTTGCACATCTCCAATTGTAGAGGGCATGGAAAGGAAAGCACGTAATCATCCTCGGTGGTTCGTCGCAAATAGCGACCTCATGAATATAAAACTTGGTCGTATTGCGCGACACGAGTAGTTGGTCGCTCGATACATGAAGGGGGGTATCCAAGAAAGGTTCTCATACACTTCATATCATACCAACACATGCAATGCATCCCATCACTCAAACTCCTTCAAGCCGTCCTTCTCCCTCATGGCAGGGAAGAGATCGCCGTTAAAAAACTTGACCATGGCGAGATGGGTCTCGATGAAGTCATCCTTGGCCCATTTCAAGGGATCGTTTGGATCCGTGGCCTGCATCCACAGTTTCTCATGGACGACTTTGAGTGTATTTTTTTCTGGTCCGAACGTCAGCATCATCACATTTGGTGTGGGGTAGAGTTGAACCCACCGTTCTCCTGCGGAAAGAAGCCATTCCACTTGCGATCCAAACTCTCAAAAGGAAAGGGCCCATCACTGCGAAACATTTCACTCAGATAGCCCTGATCGGCCATTCTCGTATCCCAAGTATCAGTCTTGGGGTAGTTTCGCAACAGTCTCTTGTGCATGCTATCATTGGGTTGCAACAACATGACTCCGACATTCAATTCCGCCAGTTCCCCCTCTTTTTGAAAGCCTTGCGGGGCGACGTGGAAAGTGTATTGGCAGAGGATGTCGGCCAACGCGGCATCTTCCATGGGGAGGAGGTCGCGCTTGCAGTCCTGTAGCGGGGCGCGAAAGACATCGTCAATGGGCTGCATGGGGAAGGCATCGGAGTCGAGAAAAAGGACGCGGGAGAAGTCGAATTGCTTCCACATGTGCAATTTGGCGAATTGGAATTTCCAGCGGGGGAATTGGGCTTCGGCGGGGGTGTCGATGGGATCGAGTTGGCGAACCAGAGCACCGGCGGCGGAGAGTATGTCGCGCTGTTGATCGGTGATGTGGGGAGCGACGAAGACGGTGAAGGTGTTTTCCGACTTGGTCCGCGGATCCCACAGCAGACGATATGCGAGTTGGAGGGCGGCGAGGAAGTAGGGTTCCCGCAGCGATCCTCCGGGCGTCGCTAGGTACGTGGCAATGGTGGCATGTCCCGCGCCCTTCCAGTTGTGCGGGATGTAGCGGCGGAGGTGGCGCGTGTTGAACGTCGGCAGGTCGAGATGGTCCAAATCGGACTGGAATGGCAGCATGTGCTCGTTGGACTGCGCCTCCAGCTCCTTCTCTTTGGCTAGCGCACGTTGTTGCTCGGCGGCCACTTTCTTTGCATTCTCCTCCGCCTTGGCCTTGTTCTCCGGCAGCTCCGCTAACTTCCTCTCATGTTCTTCCTTGCGCCGTCGTGCGGCTTCCTCGGCGTCGGCCTTGAATTTGGCCTCGGCCCAGGAAATGGCCGGCTTTTTGGGCGGTTTGGGCGGAGGCGGAGGCGGGACGTACGAGTCGGGGAGGTCGAAGTGGGGTCGTTGCGGCGCGGTTGGGAGGTTGTCGTCATCATCGGAGGCGGAGAGGAGGAGATTGGCGGCGGCGGTGCTGCGCGAGGTCCAGTAGATGATGAGGAAAATGCAACTGCCCACCAGCAGCGAGACTCGTTTCAGACTCCAGCCCACGCCGGGCATCCCGGGCCATGTAGAGACGTCTGGTCTGGTGCTGCGTGAGGGAAGGGAAGGGGAGGGAAGGAGGGGAGGAAGGGGGTAATCTTTGGCAAGGGCGATGGGGTGGAGGAGGAGGTGTCAGAATCCCAAAAGACGTTTAAAGCATCATGCACCTCCGAGGCATGGATGGTTTGGTTAGAACTTAAGGTAGTGGCGCCAAATGAGGAGAGTGCACATCACATCCGAAGCATGAATGCCTGCATCCATGCCATGATCCAAGCCCTGTCTGCCGAACGAACCGAACCATGCGCAGACGTGGGAGGAGGATGATTGAAGACCGTTGTATCCTTCTCATCCCTATCTTCCTCATCATTCACGACTCCAGCGTTCCTGTGTGCATATTCAAGACCCTGCATGTCCATCCGACGACTCCGTCTTGGACTCTTGGCAGGGCCGAGGAGGTACTAGGTAGGGTTTTACTTTGAAATTCGAGGAAGATCCGCCAGAGTTGGACGAGAGTTCGCATCCAGCACGCGACGCGTCAGGAACATCCACTTTCCGCGGATCATCTGATTGGTGCTATACGAGATGCCGAAGCCCGCCTTCCCGCCCTTCCTTCCTTGACATTCACTTTCCCCATCACTTCATCACTTCGCTCTTCCACCTTCCAACTCCATCATGCATGATATGACAACATGTGGTGAGGCGGGAGGGAAGGAAAGAGCCATTCCATGTACAAGTACGGTGTCTATTTCAAGAAGCAGGCGAAGATCTGCACAGGGAAAGAAATCTGCAATCATCCCTGTCGAACATCGCACCGCCACTTCGCTTCGAATCATTCATCTTCCAACCAATGGATGGCGACAAACGGGAACTCGGGCTTCACGATCTCGACGGCCTGCCTTTCTTCTTGCACCAATCAACCATGAAAACATACATCCTGGACAATAACAACATCAGCACCATTAACAAGACCACCGAAGAGCATTGATTGAACAGGAGCCTCCGACAAATGGATATAAGAAGGACTTGAGCCGGAGATCACTGATGATATTCAACTTGAGGGACCCTTCTTCGCCCACTGCCACGTATCGTCATTACAAGAACAACCATTTGCCCCAATCCCGGCACCGATGCTCGCTACAAGGCCACCAACATGTAGAGAAAGGCGTCAATTTGCATTAACGGCTGATTGAGCCTCTTGCTTTTGACAACAATATCTACTGCCGGCCACAGACCATGCTTCAGCATTTGGAAACGAACTCGCCACGGTCGGAAGGCGCTGGTTTCGGCTTCTCTCTGATTCATATTTGTGAGATACTATTCCGAAGCGCACCATGGATATGACCGGATTAACAGATAGACATGGGAGTGATTTGGTAGGCACAGACGAGCCAAAGAGACATTTCACCGTAATTGGGAATGCCCATAACGAATACCGTCCGTATATGGTTCTGCTGAGATTGGTGATTAGGCAGCGGATCTCCTCCCTCGCGATACGAGTTTATGAGTCCCGCAAGCTGTACGGCGTTGACTTGAAGGATGTCGCTGAGGTCATAGCACTCAGGTGTCACAAGCTGCGGTGCCGCTATAGGTCATCCAGCGGCATGTATGGCTAGGACATGCTTGACGTCGGCTACTAGTCTTGCAGAGGTGAGGGTATTCCTGGACCGTCTTAGAGATTGGATAGTCTTCGAGCGTCAAGATATTCGCTCTTTGCTACCAATGAGGATCAAGTGCGGTGTAGGTCTCTAGTCGTATCTCATTCATATATACCTAGCAATGATTTCATCTCCTCCCAAAGATGCGAACCTGGTTTCAACTGCCGCACCTATGGATACTACAGAAGTACGCTGCGGCCCAGCTGCAAAGCCTCTAATTCGCAGCCCGACTACCCTCAAGGTTGTCGGCGGCACTCTTGCTAGTCGTCTCGCCGCTTTTGCCATAGAAAGCCGCGTCGCCTCCCATCCGCTCAAGGACTTCCCTACTGTGCTGCTTACTTGCTTCCGATGTGTCTGAAACCCGATTGATTAGCCAAGCGTACTGATTGGTGGGGACATGGTGGCAAAAGCATACTCGGGTTGGAGAGATTCGCTTCATGTCCTGATGCCGAATTGCTGATATCCTCCTTGCCGTGGGTAAGATCTTTCATATCATCGGACATGACGGATTTKGAACCTTGGGAATCCATGACTGAYGAAGGTAGGTATAGTAATCTGATTGATGCTGGGGAGTTTTTATCTTTTTGAGATTTTGGATTAAAGGTTTGTAGGGTGTGATAAAAGAATTGTCCGCCTTACATCGCTTTAAGCGACTACTTATACCAAAGGTACGTAACCTTCGAGCAGGCTCACAACAATGAAAGCATGAATATTGGTCGGATCATGCGCCGACATCCAGGTCGCCAAGGAGAGGACGGAGCAATACCTACGTAGAAGCTACGCCATTGTGGGGAAGCAAACCGCCGCTTGAACGTCATCACGGATCCCACGGCMAGCTTCCAATGTGTGCTCTCCATTACCATCAATCGACGCCCGGGTTGGCATGGCGGTGACGTGTAGTGTTACAAATACTCGTCTGAAGTCGCAACGGAATCAAATTCACGGCCAGTATTCGCTCACGACACGTTTACCGTCTCTTGATATCTACGCCTATACGGTAYACCTTACTGTATAAGACGTTACGGGCAGCTGAGCGGGAAGTCCGAACCAATGCGCTTCAATGATCGAGAAAATGGAGAGCGCAGATTGGATGGAAGCATTCCCGTTTCTTCCGCGCTTCCTGTCTGCATCGGCCAACGTGGCACCGAAGAAGAGAGAGCATTGCAGCACTTGCAAAGCTTTGACACGCCATGGTCACATCGCCAACTGTAGTGTAGGTAGGTAACAGCAATCCGATCGTTGGATATTCTTGACATGGGGATTCTTCCATTGTTCGCGTCTACAATTTTGCCGAGTCCGTGGGGAGGTCGGGGAAGACAATTCGACGATCAAGACGWGCGCACTCCTTCCACGCTCGTCGACGGAGGCACTCGGCCAAGGCTTCGTCTCTTCTCGCCAACCAACGCTTGGTCACTTCCACCGCAACCTCATCACCATCACGCGCCGCATCCGCCACGAGCAAAGTCGTGATGACCGTCCAATTCACCCGGTCTAGTAGTTCCCTTCCACGATACAGCAGCTCCGAGGCGTCTTTCTCTCGTACGAGGTCTTTAATAATCTTCACCTCCGCAGAGACCGTCCGTACATCAAGACCCAGACGATCGACGGCCTTGGTAGTGATCAAACTGTCTGTCCAGCCCTGCAGGGCTTCTAGTGATTTGGCCCCGCCATGTCCCTTCACCACGCGCACTAAATCAGCGGCCAGTACATCGGTGGTGCCTTCCCAAATTGGAAGCACATTCGCATCTCTCAACACCTTTGCCATGTTGAGCTCAATGTCTTCATTCTCGAGATACCCTACGCCGCCCAAGCTCTCCATACAGAATCGCACTCCGTCAACCGCAGCTAGTGCAGTCATCGCTTTAGCCACGGGCGTGAGCAGTCGCAGCAGATGAGGCGTCCAGGCAGAGGAGGCCACGAGCGGAAGGGAATGCGTGATTGGCTCATCCTTTTCGCTAATGCCCAGTAGGTAGGCCACAAAGTAGGCCATCATGTTATGTCCCCGATATTCGACATGTTGATGCGCCAGTCCTCGAACATGTGCCGGGACATCCATCAGCAATCGGCCCCCGAGAGCGCGACGGACTCGCGCGAACGCCCGGGAAATGCCCAGTCCACGACCGAGGGCACTGACAGACCCGATGGCGTTGTACAGTCGGGTGACGTTCAGCACAGGGCTGATCTCTTTGGTGCCGAAGCCCTCTTTGCCTATCATGTAAGCTCGCATGCCTTTCAACTCCAGTTCGGCGGTGGGGAGAGGTTTGGTCCCCATCTTATTCTTCAATCTTTGCGGAAAGACGCCATTGAATTGTGTGCCTGTGCCGGAATCTACATGCCGCCGAACTGGCGCAAAGAAGAGACTCACACGGTCCGTGGCATCGGTTTTGGCGAGGAATACGGCCATGTTCGCATCGGTGGCGCTGGAGAACCACTTGAAACCATCAACAGACCACGGTCCTAGAGGGCTGCCATCGGTCGCCAGAGCCTGTGTCCCTCCTTGAACATCGGCTTTGGACAACAATTTAGCGCGAGTCTCAGTCCCACTCACATCGGAACCTCCTGCGCGTTCAGTCATCCACTGGCCACTGGTCCATGCTCGAGAAGGATCTCGGCTCGTCAACCTCTCATATGCATTTTCCATGGCAGATTGAGCTRGCCCATCTAGCGGTGTCTGTGGATCGCGCAGAAGCGATCTGATCAACTTTGCAGCTCCGTCTTGCATAGCGGCAGGACAAGTCACAGTGCTCGAACTCCCACCGAAGATGTGTATCTTGGCGAACTGCACCAGACGAGAATGAATGCCATGCTCGTTCTCATACCCAGCCGCCACGATGCCCTCTCGCAGAGCAAAGTCCTGCGTTTGCCGCCATCCCTCACTCGTTACAAGTTCATTCCGCGGCGAGCCGAAGGAATCGCGGAGAACCAATGTAGGCGGATGACTCTCGGCTGACTGTAACCAGGAGAGCATCCGTGGTGAGAGGACCTCATCGCTGAAGTGTGATAGCGGCCCGGCGATTGCTTGGTTAGTAGTGGCGGGAAGGAAGAAATCAAGGGTGCGTCGGAATGAGGAGTCTTCTTGGAATTGATTTTGTAAGACTGGTTTGGTTTGGAAGAAGCCAGATGAGGCACTTGATGGCATGGAAGTTACCTTTGACATTGTGTACGATTGATTCTTTCAATACATAGGTCGACGGAGTTGAGAGAACGTTTGACTTGTATTGATATTATTCCATCTGTCCTCGGTCCTCACGACGTGCCTTTAACCTAAGTTCGCCTCGGTTCGACATCCCAGCCAAAGCTTTCGTGGCGGCACTCTCTACCTTTTTACAGTCTTGACACTCCCGCCTCCCTCGTCTCCCATCCTTTTTGCACGCAAGTCTGACATTCSAAGCATTTCATTGTGGGCCTCCGCTGGACTTGACTCAGTTGACTGTCGACAACAACAACACTATAGAATCCCCTGGATGGACATTGTCAAGCGACATGGCTCACGGCTAATAGCACTCATTCGTACTGGCACAGCGAGGAATCAATAATCACACAGGACCCTGAGGTCACTGCCCACGGAAGCTGATGCCGCGGTGATGCGCAGCGACACTATTACTACTGTAGGGATTTCCGTTTCATTCATACAACAATTACAAGGCTTTCACGTACAACGACAATCGCAACAGACCTATGATTCTCGGATGTCTCGGATTCCCCGGAATCCGCGGATCGCGGATTGGACATGCTATCCCTAGGGCGGTCTTTGACTCTTTGTTGGTTAAGCGACAATCCACGCAGGGTCTTGATTATTCCTGGTAACACAACATCTCTCTGCATCGGAGGCTGTTCAGCCACTTCGAGGCCTCTCGGGGATATCCAAGCGCCTTTGCGTTGGCAGCGAATCAACCCTCACGCGATGATAGCGAAAGTGGGTCTTGAGCTATGCGAGAACAACATCCGATGCAAAGAGGCGCTGCGCTGCGCTGTAGCTGTAGCTGAACCTCCATATCTCGCTTGCAGACCTCGGACATGGAATGAGGGCTGACGTGCCTCGCAGTCCTGGGATGATGCCCCAATACCACGTGGATATGCACATTGTTATATATGCACCTGTCCCTGATCTCTCTWCGGCCTCCCATTGTATCTGACCTTCAACCGGTATTTCTCTCATCTATCTCAGCCATGAAGACGATCGCTTTCTCTCTTCTGCTCACCTTACTCGTCACAACAGCTTCCAGTCATGACGACGCACTTGTCGACGTTGCCATAGTTGGTGCTGGTCTCTCAGGTCTTGCCGCTGCTAAAGCCCTGCAAGACGCAGGAAAGACGTTCACTATACTCGAAGCCCGAGAGCGTGTCGGCGGAAGAGTTCAGAACCAGGACTTAAGTAATGGTGGAGTAACGGAGCTCGGTGCAGCGTTTGTGGGTCCAACGCAGGATTACGTTCTCGATTTAGCAGCTTCTCTCGGCCTGAAGGTTTTCTCAGAGTACAACGAGGGCAACAATGTCGCCTTCCTGGACCAACAGAACCTGACATACTCCACCGAGTCTCCCGTGCCCCCGATCGATGATGTCTCGATTCAGCAGCTGCTCTCAGCAATCACATTCATCGACACCGCAGCCTCCGCCATCGATGTCAATCATCCGTGGTCCCACCCCAACGCTTCGGCATGGGACTCTATAAATTTTGCAACCTGGATGGAGCAGCAAAATTTGACCACTACTCTCTGCGCACTCTTCGACATTTCCATCCCGGCCATCTTCTCTCTCGAATCTACAGAGTTATCCCTCTTCTACGCTCTCTCCTACGTCGCGGCTGCTGGCAACGCAACCCTGCCCGGCTCGTTCCTCCGTCTGATCAGCGTCGCCGGCGGCGCACAAGAATCTCGCATCGTTGGAGGAACAGGCCTTCTCGCAACCGGGCTCGCCGACCAAATTGGCCACGACAAGATCCAGCTCAACTCTCCCGTCCGATCCATCATTCAACATCCCTCAGGCATCTACTCGGTCTGCGGGACAGGCTCCACCGTGAATGCGAAACAAGTCATCATCGCCATGTCCCCACCGCTAGCTTCCCGCATCTTCTATGATCCTCCCCTCCCCGCAATGAGAGATCAGCTCACCCAACGCATGTTCATGGGCTCCCTGGGCAAAGCAATTGCCATCTACTCCACGCCCTTCTGGCGAGAAGCCAACGTTTCCGGGCAAGCAATCTCCGATTCCGGTACGGTCCGCACCACCTACGACGTCTCACCCGAAGACGGCAGTTACGGTGCAATCCTCGGGTTCATCGAAGCCGATCGCGCACGAGCCGTAGAAGAACTCACAGACGCGGAGATAGCAGCTCTAGTCACAGAAGACTATGTGAAATACTTTGGTCCGCAAGCCGCCAATGTTTCCGAATGGGCCATCAAACGATGGGATCATGAAGTCTATTCGAGGGGCGGACCCGTGGCTCTCGCAGGCATCGGGACACTTTCGAGGTTTGGGCCTGCGCTGAGGGAGAAGTCCGGTGGGATTCATTGGGCGGGCACCGAGGCCAGTGAGTACTGGATTGGGTTTATGGATGGAGCGCTGAGGGCTGGGGAGAGGGCGGCGAAGGAGATTATTAGCGGGTAGGGAGGGCTTTGATGCATTCAGAGGTGATTCGAGGGTGAATTATACCAGCTGTAGGTTGAAGAAGAGGACAGCAAAATCAAGCAGTTGAGAACTTCAATGAGTACTAGCATTGACCAACTTCCTCTCTGCTGCCCGGCTTACAGCCTGTTTCAACAGACCCAACTAAAGGAACGAAAGGGTCTTTCTCGACCTTTTCCATCGGCTCAATAAGCTCATCGACATCCCAGCGCCCACCGAAATCTTCCATGCAAGGAAGCTAGCCAGACTGTGACATGACCAGAGAGTCGAATATCTTTCCACTCAAAGCCAGTGCCCACTGMCTTTACCCCAGCGGTATGGAATACTCCCGGATGAATATTGAAAATCCGTACACCATTCTTTTGCGGGGTGTCTTCCATCGCCAAATGCTAGGTAGACAATATTTGCAAAAAGCGGCTTTAGTAGGCCCACCATATCCTGATAAACCCGGAACCGCAGAATTACGAAACAACCGAGGAAAACTGTCGAGGATTGTCCTMTTGCTTTGGGACTGTGGTGCTGGTAGCGCGAGGTATTCCTTGGGCCGTGTGCAAAAAGAGCAAACACGTTGGTGGTTTGGAAGCTTCTCTCATACCTAGTCGATCATGAGGAATCTTGCTGCTCGGTAGAATCTGGTGTGAGGCAACAGCGTTGAGGACTAGAATTTCGACATCGCTGATACTGCGCATCAGGATCAAGGGATGCATTGGACTAGATACGGTCGCAGGTCTTTGAATGGTAGGTCCGGGCCGGACGGGGGAGCGTTTCGAAGAAACTCATATTGATGAATGCTTGGATGATCTGGAATGAGGGTGCGTGCTTGTATTTGATGAGGCGTTAGGAGGGAAGGTGGATCGGCTTGCATGCGGTTGGAGTGATGAGCTTGTATGAGCTTTCAAATTCTGGACTTAAAATGAGCTTTCTACACAGCTCGTTGACTATAGAGTAGTATCTCCTGTATACCGAAATATTTCAAAGCAACTTAGGAGGCTTTTAGAGTAGGCCTGCTTGAATGTGACCCCGACATTGTAGGTCTGAAGACGGAACCATATTGCTGCAAAACCAGAGTAAAGAGCATTGAGAGTAAAGACGTGAAACGCGCTAGAGACAACGCCGAATGTAAGCATATAGCAATTTCTTCCTAACTTGTTCGCGGGATGTGTTTCTTACTAATTTTTTTAATAGGTACCTTCCCTGGGGAAAACGCGGCTGGGAATTATGCAAAGTGCACTGCGGGATTCGTGCAAAAGTTACCTGTGTGCTGTGAAGCCGTGAGTATTCCATTCCACCTTCGATTCTTACTTCCCCCATTTAGAAGAAAAAGCTTCAAAAAAAAAAAAGTCTGACTGACCCTATGCAATTAGTTTGTCGGAGGTCTTGCTTTTTGCACTGAACCATCAACAGAGCTGAGATAGGGGCTGGAGTTTCTCTACCCTGAGTATGACGGTTAGCACAGCAGAAAACAGACGCACTTACCATGGCCTTTTACTCTGCGTTCTCCACTCTTGTGGGCGGGCGCTTGTAGGCGTGGTCATGGCCCCGGTACAACAGTCACTGCACGTAGGACCAAGGTCCTTTTTACACTTCTAGAAATGACGGGAACATTCACTCACTTAGGAATATTGTAATTATGAGAGTTTCTAGCAACACATGACTGGCTGTGTATAATAAATAATAGCCGTCCATTCACTCACTTAGCTAGCAATTACAAACTTCATTTCGCTTCAAAAATCTCGTAATGACTGTCCTTGGGAGCAAATGTAGTGTGTGATATATACCGCTGACTCCTACGCATCCAATGTAKCCACATTCGAGCCCATATATATGTAAGCGTTCTTCACTTGGACGAGATGATATTTCCTCAGTTTCTGTTCGAGTTGTATAGCAAATTTGTAAAGCTATCCTTGTCCTTATCATTTCTAATGTCATACAAGACAACAACGCCCCTTTCCCTTCCCGTCAATCCACATCCGCTTCCCGCATCGTGTATATACAGCCCCTTGTTTACATATATTTGCAAAGTAACTGACTACTTTCGGTCCACCGCGTGAATGCTAATCGTGAGAGGATACTTCTGTCGCAGCTCAGACCGCCGATAGACGATTCACGCAGCCAATCTAGCGTATTAGCAGCGCCCGAGCCTCGCAACGTTGACCAGAATCCTGCGCCATCACATAACTTCACGCCACTGCAAGGTGATGACAGCGTTGAAATTCGTCCCGCGAGGAATTATGGCACAGGCCAAATCCCGACCTCTCGATCTCCAGCGCAATGTCAAGCACAGCCTTCTGCTCTCCCACCATCGGCTTCGTTTCAATCGCATGAGATGAGCCCTGACCTTGGTACATTAAGTACGCCACAAGAGACTGGTGTGCTTACGGATGATTGGTTCAACAAGCTTGGCGATATTCTCGGCAACGACATGAATTCATTGAATAATGGACACAAGTGGTCAAGTAGTGCACCACTTGCTAGGGGGCCAGCCGACCTACACTGTTCCCAACTATCTCGATCAATACTCCCACATAAACAGCGATATGTAAGCGAATGGGTAAGATGTTCACCAGTCCTCGTTTCAGCAGCGTCCTTCAAATCCGTCGAATGAGCTCGGGCAGGATTATTCCAGATCTGCCTCCATAGTTGAGCAGCGTCACATTGAGGAGCAAAATGGAACCCTCTTCACGCAACGCACTATCCCAGTTCGTCCTGCAGCACCGAATGAAGCACAAATTACGATTTAGCAGCAGCCGGACATTTGTTGGCAACGGCTTACAACCTCCACTTGATCAACCTCCAGTTGAACCTCCTCCATTGCCACCGCCACATAAGGACTAACAAGACGGGCACAATAATTGACAGTCCTAGCTTTGGAATTGCTGCCAACCTCTCTCTTGACCACGACACCATAATCTATCTACACACCGAAAACAGTACTCTTGCCACGGAGAACGAGAAACTCCGTACCTACGGCTGAAATGTAGTTGAGGTGAATAAAAGCCGTGGGGCTCTTGACGTATTCGTGCTGAGTTGTATGGACTGCAATCTTCGCTACGTTGAGGCTTTATGTTGTAGGCGGTACTGTATTGCAGTCAAACCACCCGTTGAGCGAAGGTGAGGATCATTCCAAAAACAGGTGTTTCATCAAAGCAACGCTACTGCCCATCCACCTTTGGTCTAATCATACCATCAGCCTCGGCACCAGTTTTGACATCTTCCCAAGCAGGCCACGGAATCTGAAAGGCATCTGTGATCCTCCCGTAGGATATTCCCTGCAGACGCCCAATGGGCTTCGACTTGGCCGGATCAATGTACTTTCTCTCCTCATCCACGACGTCTTCCCGCACCCAGAACCGGGTGCCTTCAAGGATAGTAATGACATTCGCGACCAAGCCCGGCTTGCTTCGACTCATAATCTCATGTACTCCTACAAGCTTACACTCGACCGCGAACACAGCCTCTTTAATGCGACTCGCTTTGACGTCTGTACATGGTGCAGGCGTCAAGCCTGATAGAGCCCATTCGGAGATACCATAGGGTGTTGCCATTGCAGCTGCATTGGAGGCTTCGAGGATGTCCTCGGTGAGCATGTTGATTACGCACTCGCCAGTCTCCTTGATATTGATCAGACTGTCCTTTGCCGCGGTCGAGCCAACAGCGTGGCCCACGACGAATGTTGGCGGATCATGACTCATGGCTTGGAAGAAGGAGTATGGAGCGAGATTGGTGGTGCTTCCATCTTTGGACACTGTGCTCACGACTGCTGTCGGCCGAGGGATCACAGCTGAGGTGATGAGTCGATAGTTGAGGGCGGGATCGCGACCTTCTTCGTGGGGATCTATCGAGATCTGGTTGGTCCGGGCTAGGTCATCTTTGTTGTTTGCACCATCCCCGAGCTTCCAATCTGGCTTCTTGGTTTTGGTCCAGAGGAAAGGAGTCGATTCATTCCAATCCGGGCGGCTGTCTTCGGTAGCTTTGAAATCTCGCGGATTGCGTGCATTCTTATCCACTTGGCCGATGCCTTGGGCTGACTTTAAGGGGTCTGCCATGTGATCTTGTAAAGATATGTGATTTCGTGTTTTCCTAAAGGCGCAATTAATTGTTCTTAAGAATGATGAATGATGCGATAATCCCATCGTGATATAGCCGATGTACTAGTTCATGTATCCGAAGTTCCGAACCGAAAGCCCCTATCCTAATTAGGGATAAGGTAGGCCTATATTACTACTACTTAGTTAAACACACTATATACTAAAATAGGCCCTATTTAATAAGGTAATACGCGCTATTTAAGAAGACTTAGCAAAAACGGCGCTCTTATTAAATAAGGCCGTATTTATTATATAAGGCCGCTTTTATTAATAGTTAAGTGTTTAGTTAAGTTAATTAATATAGTATAGGTAAAACTACTAGGATTTAGCTCTCTAGCCCTACGGAGTAATTACTTTATAATAACACGATATATTTATATATAGATTAACGAGTAGCTTATCTTAATGCTATTTAGAGCGTATATAATAGGATATTACTACTAAAGAACCGAGTAAGGTATTATAACCTCTAAGTACTAGTAATCTAGCTAAAAAACAGTATATAGTTTAGTATACCTACGAATATCTCTTACTTACGAAAACGACTCGTACGGTTCTTAGAAAGCTTAAAAACGTACTCTCTAGTAAAATGCCGTAGGCTAATAAGAGGCTAGAGAACTCCTTTAGTTTTCTAGCTAGCGTAGCTCTTACTAGCGTAGATAGAACGGCTAAAGAGCGCCTTCGCTACCTTACGGCCCTATATTATCTTCGTTAAGCTCTTACCTCTTACTACTATCTTAGTAGCGGAGCGGAGCTCTATAAGCTTCTTAGTAGGCCGCTTAGTACGCTAAGGCCGTAATTAAGTTAGTATAGTATCGTTATCGCTACCCTCGTTACTACTTACGAAGAGTAGCGTATCCGTATTAATATCTATATTACCGCCTCTATCTATATTACCGCCGCTATTCGTAACTACTACTACTACCGCTACCGCTACCTCTTAAGTTATAATTTGCCGTACGTAGCCTTCGAGGCGTTTACGTTCCTATAGCGTAATAGCCTTATCGTTTTCGTAGAGGCTCTTATCGCCTATCGTGGTATTATCGTTATCGTTATCGTAGAGGCTCTTATCGCCTATCGAGGTGTTTACTAGCTTATTAATGTCCGCTATAAGCTCGTTACTCGCTTCTTTATAAGGATAGCTATAATCGTTTATATTTATATATATACCGCCGTAACTATAGTAGAGCGCTAAGTAAGGCCGGTCTACTTTCTAATACGAATAGTAGCCGCTATTATAGCCCTTCTTATAGCCGTACTATATAGACTTTAAAAGAGGGATTTAAGCCTACTTACTCGCCGTAGTAGCTATTATAATCTCGGTATTAATGCCTTCTCTAAATATAGCGAAGTCTATATAATTAAAGTCTAGTTTAACGATATAGCGGATATAATACTAGTTCTTAATAATACCTTAAGGCGACTAGCCTTTATATATAAAGTAGCTCTTACCGCTCTTATTATTAAACAGCTCCTTAATTAGCTATACGTTAACTACGCGCGGAGATAGTCCGCCCTTTACGCGGTATTACTTAGGGATTATAAAGCCTATAATGTCGCTAATATTAAAGGTGCGTAGCTTTATACCCTTCTCGTACTAGTAGTCCGCCTTCGCGTTAGCGGAGTGCTAATTAGTAGAGATTACGCTATCTAAAATACGGCGGTTATCGTTAATTTAGATAGCGATACTAGTACTATTAATATATTAAGTAGTACGAGCGTACTTCTCGAGATACGGCGTACTATTAAAGGCGCCTTACGTATACTACTTTCGAATACGCTCTACTATATTAGTAGCGCTCTAAGAACTCGAAATAGCGTAATTATCTTACTAATCCGGCGTATCTCCTATAAAGGTAATATTATAAGGATCTATAACCTTAGTAACTTCGGTAGTAGTAACGCTACTAGTACGGCTACTATTCTCCTTATAAGGCTCTAGTAACTCGTCTATTATCCGGAGGTCCGTATTTTCGAAGATAACGTCTACGTCCTTATTGTAAAAGTAGAGCTAAGTAAGCGTGTTAGAAAATATAGGTTCGATAATTAGATTACGGTTAAAGAACGCCTTAAAGGGCGTTATCTTAATAGCCTCGTACTACGTATTATTAAGTATTCTATAGGTCTTTTAAGCGGCTACTACCTATCTACTATCGCTACGTTATAGCTATATTACGAGGATCCGCCTTTTAATTACGCTATTAGCCTTCTTAACGAGCCCTTAGCTCTAAGGATAGTATAGCGTACCGTATATAACGCGACGGCTAAGCCTCTATAGTAACGCTATAACTAAGCCTTTAAATTGAGTGCCGTTATCTATCTACTAGAGGCTAGCCTTACCGACGAAGTTCTCGAAGTCGTAAAGGTAATAGGCAACTTCGTTAGCTTCTTTACCTATAAGAGCGTATATACGAGCGAACTTCGTCTTATAATCCTTAATATATAGTAGGTATAGGTACGGACCGTCCGGATTATTACTAAAGTTAATAAGGTCGTACTATATACGCGAGAGCGTAGTTAGTATATCTAAGTATTATAGCGAAGCCGTTTTTTAATAGCTAGTTTAGTCTTTAGAAGTATATAGATACGATATAGGCTTAAAGCTACCTTAATCTCCTTCTTAATAATACTAGTAAAGCGCTTATTAACGAGCGCTTAAATAGGGCTACGGCGTACGTATATAAGCTAGTAATGCTCGTGCGTAAGGATATCGAATATCTTATACTCTTAAATAACCTAGCGTTCTATAAGCGTAGCCTTCTTCTTATCTACTAGTATAATAAGTCGCTTACGCTCTATATAGTAAAAGAACCGCTTTAGAGCCTAAGTACGCTTATTATACTCGGCTCTTATAAGCGTACGAAATCTATACCTCTAGAGCGAATTCTTATCGAGTATAACCTAATTAATAATACKGTAGTACTATTCTCGGTTAAAGCGCTACTTTATAGTCTCTTACGTATTACGGAGGTATTACTCGAAGGCCGTATATATTCTCGAAGGGAATAGATCGGTATTAGCGTAGGCGCTATTCGGATTAAGCGAAGGAATAACTAGTAGTAGCGGACGCGCCGGAGTCGAGCGATTAAGCTAGAGGGCGTATTATTACGAGTTTAGCGATAGCCGTCTATTACTAGTAGTAGTATTAATAGTATTAGTAATACGAGATAATAAAATTAAAGATAAAGAATGCTATCCGTACGAGCGTCGCTAATTAGAAGAAGGGATTAGCATTACCGGTATATTACCGCTAATAACGATAATATAGTAAGTTAATAAGATATAATACTTATCTTACTATATATTATAGTACTAAGTAGTCCCTTAAAAATAAGCCTATACCGGGTATAGAGCGACTAGTAATATAGAAGTTATACGTAATCTAGTAAATATTACGAAAATTCGAAAGCCTACTAGCTTTTCGGCTACCGAACTAACTAGTAATAAATATATATTATAAAATAGACACTATATAGTAAAACAAGGCCTATTTAATAAGGGAACAATAACTTATTAATTAACCGTTATTTAACTAAAGAGCGCTTACGAATAAGGCCGGTTTTATTAAATAAGAGGTTTAATAAACGGCCGGCAACATTAGCTACATTACGAGAAGCAAAGGTCGGGTGTCTTATACAACTACTAACATACCCCCACGGACGCTGCCGTTATTACCTCTAACGTAGCGCGGTAAGGAAGGTACTATACTATGGTTACGTAGTAGGTACGGTAGGTATGCTTCCTCCCCTCCTTCCTCCCTACCGGCAATGTACGTAAGGTAGCCACAGGCGCGTCAAGTGCCACTTCCACGCTTCTCCTCGCTCGAGTCTTGCTTCCCATGAAAGCATGTGCACTGTGCATCTGCACGGCAGTTGGCGCTAGATGGGTGTGGATCGGCCTCCCGAAAGCCAGTCCCAGTCCCAGTGCCAGCTAAGGTTCTTGTTTGACTTTGAAGCTTGTCGTCGACCATCTCCGTCTCGTGACGAGGTGACGGTACGCTGCTTCTGGGCAGAGCTCCCCGGACCCCGCGTGAAACCAGCCGACCACTAAAACCATGCCGCCGCCTTGTTTTGCCAACCTTTGGGCCCAATATCCCCTTCAGGCTTCAGATCACGTAGCCTTGTCGATGCTGTGATGGTTCATCACCGCCTACATTACATTCCTAGCTATTTCATCCTCGATTGGTCTGGACGAGACGATTTGGATCAGTCATTCATTCAYCCTGCATGGAAGCGCTAGTCCGCACCTACCCCGAAGCATCGCAGTGACAGACGGTCAAACAACGTATGACACGCCGATCACAGAATGACACAGATGTGCTGCTTTCAGCCTTTGACCGCTCATCCTCCAGCTGTCTCGGAAGTTGGAACTCACCTCACCATCAGATCTGCATAACTTAGTGAAGACCCATCGCACTTGATGTTGGCCCAACGACAAAGCACCGTGCAAGCCGTGAAAGCCATCCATGGATGCAGGTGGTATCAATCTTGCTCTACCTGAGTCACTAGYACTCACCATGAGTGACCGCGGAGACAAAGACAGAGACTCCGACCACGGCCCGTAACTATATCGCAACACGCACTTCCCTGCTGACTGACTTTGTTGAATGCAATCCATGTCGACTGATTCTATAATGTCTCAACTGAGTGAGACTCTCAAACAACAACAATGACCGGTTGACTGCTCTTCACAGCCGAGGAATCGACGACATGTGGATGTACGACATCACCAACGGCGGCAGTAAAGGTGCTTCAAAGCATCTGCCACCCCTCGACAATCCCTTTTCGCCTTCACTCCTCCGACAAAAGGCAGTACACTCTTGGAATGAGAAGGGTGCGGGCCATGCCAATCACAACTTGCAATCCATCACTGACCCTCCAAAGTATCCGGCAAGTACTCACTGCTCAAAACCCTCCTCAACTGCTTGTTCTGGCCCTTTCTTGCCGCGATACCAGGTCGCCTCCTCCTGGTGCTCTTCAGATATGCCCAGCCAATTCTTATGTCGGTTGCCATCAGATATGCCAGTCGCGATACATCCACCGATACGCTGGCATTCTCTGCCACTTCCATTGTCATTGCTACCGCTGTCATATACGCTGGTATTGCTGTAAGCGAGCTCGTTTTCAAAATCTGCTGCCTCTTTTTCTCTCTAATCACTCGCACAGTTGTCGGAGTTGTCTTATCGATATCGATCAGACTGCTTCAAAGTGATGGCCAGGAGCTGTCTGATAGGACTGATCCACGACAAGGCTTTGAATGCATCTCCCATGACTKGTCAATCGAATCACGGACGTGCCATTACCCTCATGAGCTCCGATGTCGAGACTCTTCTCGGCACCGCTGTAATGTTCCATGACACTTGGGCCCATCTGTTAGAGATGTCAATCGGCATGGCTCTTCTTGCTCGAAACATTGGCTGGGTAAGCCCCATCTTATTCATCATCATCTTTGGTAAGTTTGGAGTCCATTTCAATGTTACATCGTAGTATGCTGAGACGTCTACGGCCTGCTCTCGAGTGAGTCGAWACGTTGCAATGCAAATCAAGCCTAGACAAATGGCATGGAGCATTGCAACGCAGAAGAGGTTGGCTTTGACGAGCACTCTACTCAACACCATGAAAGGCATCAGAATGGCTGGTGTCTCTGCCCCTTTCAAAGACCATCTATCAGCACTTCGTTGCATCGAGCTCGACGCGGCCAAGCAGATTCGTTGGGTCCGTGTAGCCGCCAACGCAAGTGGTATGTGGGACTAAGTCCACCTTCACCAACACATCTGACCCTCTAAAGCAAACGCCCTCGGCCTTTTCTCCCCAGCCATTGTACTGGCYATCTTCTCGCTGCTGGCACATTGTAGAGATCACAGTGTCCTCGACACAGAGACCGCTTTCACCACTGTCGCTATTCTGACCATGGTCACGCATCCTGCCAATATGTTGATGACCATAGCACCACTTGCAATCGCCTCTCTGGCCAGCTTCGAGCGAATCTAAGAGTACCTGCTTGAAGCTTCACATTCGGAACATCGCAAGGACATACGTGAGCTACAACACCTGATCGACCAACCAGTAATTGCGCTTCGGAATGTTACTATCAGCTTTAACCCCAGCTCACGTCCTGTGATCGAAAACATCAGCTTTGACATGGCTCGAGGATCCTTCGTTGCTTGTCTTGGACCCGTCGGCGTTGGGAAGACATCACTTATACGAGCCATCGCTGGTGATCTGGAATGCTCGAACGGCTCTATCTTCGTGGCCCGTTCTGGACCAACAGGTCTCGCTACTCAGATCCCATGGCTCCCAGCTGGAACTATCCGAGACGTCATCTGCGGTGATTTCGAAAAGGCCGATACGGTTTGGTACCGAACTGTCGTTCGTGCATGTTGCTTAGAGCCTGACTTCTCCTCACTGTCGGCTGGGGATCAGGCGCAGATAGGCAGTCGAGGGTCGAATCTTTCTGGAGGCCAGCGACAGCGTGTGGTACGTTCGAGCCTTTCGTTTGTCGATCGCGTGCAAGCTAAACAACCCACAGGCGCTCGCGCGTGCATTGTACTCTCATCCTCAAACTCTGCTTCTGGATGATCCCTTCAGTGCTCTAGACGTGGAGACATCCTCTCGGATCATGCAGAACTTGTTTGCTTCCGAGGGTCTGTGTAAGAAACAAGGCATGACTGTATTCTTGACAACTAGTTCAAGTGAGTTGCCTTCCGCTACGTTGATGCCTAATGACACATGGATGGGAGCTGATTATGTTACAGCTGCTCCTTGCCCCTTTATGGATCACATCATTGTGCTTGGCGAGTCTAAGATCAAAGCTCGCGGTACCTGGCAGGACGTAGCCCCTAAACTCGGCCAAATGCACGCTGGTTTTGTCGGCGACAACAAKCAGGAGTTCCACCAACCTGAACGTCACTCCGTCAACGACCCAGTCACGAACGAGATCCGCAAGATGCAAGACGCGGCTTCAGACCTCACGCAAGTACCCAAAAGCGACGGAGTCTATCGTAAGTCAGCACCACATATCTTCAATGTCGACTCACTCAATCTTCTCAGGCTATTACTTGAATGCTGTTGGTAATACCAACTTCGCCATTCTACAACTATGTACCGTCACATATGCTGTATTCGTCACTTTTCCGCAATACTGGTTGAAGCTATGGACAGAGTCTGACGGCCGCCACTCACTGTTCTATGTGCTGGGGTATCTCGGCTTTGCCCTCATGTCTTGGGTTGCAACGAGCTGTCAAACTTGGTGGGTCTTTTACTGAGTCGACGACGGTCCTTTGATCTATCCACTGATGTTTGCGTTTCAGGTCGGCTCTGATCAAAGTCGCTCCGAAATCTGGCGTGCGGCTTCATCAAGATCTGTTGGAAACTATCATGGGGTTGGTGGACTCTGGATTCCGTCGGTCTCGTAGATGTGTGCTGAATGTTTGTTTCATAGGGCGCGATTCTCCTACTTCTTCGATAAAGAGACAGGAGTCACACTCAATCGGTATTTACAACAGCTGATCCGTCATGAAGCTTCTAGTCATTTTACTGACGCTTCCGAAAGCTTCGGGCAGGACATTCAAGTCGTAGACCAACAGTTGCCAACTGGACTTTCGACACTCAGCACGCGTGGGTGTGAATCCTTGGACATTTGCCTGTATGGTGGACTGCTGACAAAACATGACAGAGGTGTTCAAGCTAGCAATACAGACAACGCTCCTAATCTATGTGAGCCCAGGCTTGTCATTCGCTCTACCTCTATTGATTGCAATCGCATACTTGATCCAGAAGTACTACCTCAAAGTCTCTCGTGTGCTTCAATTTCAAGATCTGCAATCCAGAGCACAAGTCTTCACATCTTTCATCGAAACGGTCAGTATTAGGGACAAACCACAGGCATGCTTCGAACATGACTGATATTTACTCGTAGATAGAGGGCGTTGCCACCATCCGTGCATTCAACTGGCAAGAAGCATACGCAGAGAAGAACATCCAGAGCTTGGATACTTCTCAGCGCCCATTCTACTTCCTGCTCAGCGCCCAACGATTTCTCAACGTCGTTCTCGACCTTTTGATCGCCGTCATCGCGGTGGTCGTTGTACTGCTCACCGTCGTCTTGGCAGATGGAAACCGTGGTGCTGAAATTGGAATTGCGTTGAATATGGTCATTGCTGCTAATGCTACTCTCATCCGGCTCATCTCGTCTTGGACGACGTTGGAGATTGCTATTGGGGCGGTGAGTAGGTTGAAAGAGGTACGGGATACTACTCCTCAAGAAGAGCTCCGAGAGGAGAGCGTTTGCCATGACTCCTCCTGGCCTGAGGAGAGCGTCTGCCACGACTCCTCCTGGCCTTCGAAAGGAGAGTTGGTGTTGAAGAATGTGCTGGTGGCTTACAAGTACGTATCTTCCTAACTTACAACTCCACCAAGTTGATTATAGTGTGGACTGACCAGGACAATAGTGAGCGGTCTACCGCCTTGCATGAAGTGAACCTTCACATCCGACCTGGACAGAAAGTCCTCATTTGCGGCCGGACTGGAAGGTATGCACACTCACTTCTCCTTCGAAGCGGTTTGTATGCGAACTGACGAGAGGATGGGCAATCGGTAGTGGGAAGAGCACGCTACTTCTTACACTTCTTCGACTCTTGGATGTGAACAAAGGCTCCATCTCCGTGGATGACATCGATATCTCTCGTGTTTCCCCCTCCACGATCCGGGAACAATGCTTCATCACAATTCTCCAGGACCCGTTCATCATTGCAGAAGCCAGCCTGCGCTTCAATCTCGATCCTTTCGAAATCCATGCCGACGAAGACATCATCGCGTGTCTGGAAGCGACGCAGCTATGGACTTCCGCCTTGTCGTATCAACATCATCAGGGAGAAGAAGATCAAGAGATTTCATCTAGAGTTCCAAAACTTAACAACCCTCTGAATTCTTTCCCACCTTTAACCCCCGGCCAATTACAACTCTTATCAATCGCGCGCGCCCTTCTTCGAACCAAACCCAAAAAGAGCAGCACTTCTACTGCTGCTGCTGTTGTCGAGCATCATCATCAAAGAAAAGAAATCTTATTACTAGATGAAGCGACATCTTCTCTCGATCCACCCACGGAAAATCTCGTCCATGATCTCGTACAGGAACATTTCACGGATCAAGGACATACCGGTCATTATGGTAAGTAGGTTAGCCGAGACACCCACCGCACATCCTAACCACCCCAAACAGACATCCCACCAAATCAACAGCCAGAAAGAAAGACGCGTCTTCGATAAGATCATAACTTTCGAACAAGGTCACTGAAGAACGGTGTCGTGTGTCGCAGGCATCTTTGTGCTTGTAGGACGCAGGTTGAAAAGGTGAAAACTGTTCTCGCGGCTCGCCACACTAGGTGGCTCGCGACGCTGGAGTGGACATTACTCAAAGGAAAATGTTAAGTGACCCTGTTTGATTTATCTTCTACCACCGGTCGCTATATATCTGTCAGATGCGAGTCCCACTCTAGCATGTTAGTCGAGAGCTTCCGTTCAATCTCCAAAACCAACTATGAGCTCTTTAGCTCATCAAAAACGAACAGAGGCATTTATAAGGCTCGAACGATCGACACCCAAAAGCACGCTCATGTTCTCGGCGAGTAACAATTAAAGCCTCTCTTCTCTACTCCGGACATAGGGAGGGTCCCCGTGAAGAAAGCTATAGCCTTAAGCCCTGTCTTTGTTAACTACTTCTTTAACATCTACCTCCTTTCTATTAGTTGCAAAGTATTTAAGATTACACTTAACACGCTTAACAGCGTAAATTAGACGTCGGCTTATATACGGGCTATTACTCCTAATAAAAATCTTTATAGGCATCCCCCCTAGATATACCGGCTAATAAGCTTCGAGCTTTCTTTTCTTATTATCCTTCTTATCCTCTATATTAGGTAGAGATAGTATTTCTTTAAGAAATTAATATATATAGATAGTACGCTCCTCTAACTTAGTATATTTATCGAAGGCTATCCGTACTAGATCCTTATATTCGATTCTACTTCTACTCTTATCTAATAGCGGCTTCGGTCCGTTAAATAGGTTTATTACCKTAGGACGTCTAGCCTCTAGCCCCTCGTATATTTTATATTTATTTCTACCTATACTAAATAGCTTTAGTATATAGAATAGGCCGAACTTTCTAGATAAGCTTATCGGAATATTACTTTTACGGTTCTCTACTATTCCTAGTCCCTCGGGTAGAGAAACTTTATCTAATATATTCGTCGTTATAGTAATCGTAGTATTACTTAGGCGCTCGGGTCTATTTACTAGAAGAAAAGGTCTTTTTTCTAGCTTAGAAGATATATTTATAGGTAAAGAATATTATTAACGTTAAATATAACTACTTTTTATACCTATAAGCTCTCCTATACTAGTGCTGTTTTAACCTCCTAGATTACCTTAATCTAAGACCTAAAAACTATCTCTAGAAACTAGGTTTCTATAAATAGGATATCGTAACCTATTAAGGCCCTATCGATTTCTCGAGTATATTTATCGTCCTTATCCTTACTCTTCCTACTACGTTTCCCGTAAGCGAGTATATAACGGATTACTAGTATTAGCGACGACTTAAGATCCTAGCTCCTCGAATACTAAGCGGTAACGTCTAGCTAGATTATTACTTTCGTCTTAAGGGTATATTATATATATATATAGTTTAATATATAAGAGTAGATAGTATTACCGACCTTTAGAGGCCTCTTCCTTTACGCGGTCGACGAGATTTAGGTTTCGGACGCCCCTTCTAGAATTATTCTTTTAGAATATCGAAGACTTATATATACTTTAGATACTCGCTACTCCGGTTACTCGAACTAGTATATTATCTCTAGAATCCGATTCGCGCCTATAAGGATCCTATAATTTCGGGAACGAGAAGCTAGCTATTAGAATCTAATATAATTATTAGTTAAGTATAGAAGCTAAAACAATCCCTAGGCTATCCGCCCTCTACTTTATTATGCTCTATACCGGTTTAGGTACCGTTTATCCTATATATACTATATATATATATAATTTTTACGCCCCTTCTACTTTAGATTAGACGTAACGGAATTTCCTATAAGTTACGTAAAGTACGTAAGAATATCGAGATATAATAGAACTATTAGAAAACGTATAGCGCGCGTATTAGTGTCCGTAGATTATATAAAAGGCTTAGTATCGACAGTTCTATATAATCCTTATACGTCTATCGATTATATTATAAAGATAAAAGTAGTAGGAGTTCTACGGGGTTTACTTTACGGGTAAGGCCTTTTAGACCCTTATAGGCTATTTATCGATATAGCCGGACTTTACTTCCCTATACTAGGGAACTACGCTAGCGACTAACGGTAGACTAGAAATATATATAAATAGAGGCTTAAAGAACTACGTTATATGGAATATATAATAGTCGCTTAYTAGTACTATACCGTACTAATCTACGGATACGAGAGACATATAACCTTTATATAATATATACTAGCTATAAGTCTAATTAGTCTAATTAATCTAAGCCTAAGCGCCCTAAGCGCTTAGTTAGAGAACTAAATATTCTAATTACTTCCGGTCTAATCGCTCGGCCTAAGGCTCGAAGTTATATAACCTATCGTTAGTATAGAGGCCTAAAAGAGTAGGATATAGCTTAAAGAAGATACCGCTTCTATATACTAATACTCCCCTATATATAGCTATTATAAKGGTAACATAGTTCTTCTACGTATATATGTTCTTTACTTAAAATTTAGAATTTGCCTAACTATACGTTCGATACTATAAGAGCGGTCGGCAACTAGTAGAAAGCCCTACTAACCCCCTACTAATCCTCGAGTAAGAGAGGAGAAAGTAGAGAGAAAGAAGTAGAGATCTACTAGAAAAAGAGGGAAAGAAGTAGAGATCTACTAGAAAAAGAGGGAAAGAAGTAGAGATCTACTAGAAAAAGGCCCTACGGACCCTATACTAAATTCTAACTAAAAGTCCTAGGGTACTTTATTTCCCTTATAAGGATATCGTAGCCTCTTCCTTAAGTAATACCTAAAGGTTACCTAGGTATCCTACCTCTCCCCTCCGGTAGTACTAGAGGAAGAAGAATAAAGAAAAGCGAAGGGAATTAAAGAGAAAAGGTAAGAATTACTATTTTAACCTTTATATATATATATATTTAGTATTTAATCGTACTTAGCATTTCTTTATACTATTATATACCCTACGCTAACCTAGCTATTCTAACCTTCCTTAGACGTACGTTATAATAGTAATTCTTCCTTCTTACCTATTAGGGTAATAGTCCGGAGAATGCTACTAAAACTAAATACTAGGCGTACGGTAGTAGTAAACGACCTCGAAGCTCCCGTAGTATCGAGTCCGTACGCCGATATAGCTATAGACGAACCTAAAGGTCGTATCGAGGAGCTTCCTAATACTAATAACCTAGAAGAAGAGGACTATATAGAGGTAGATAAGGCCTAGATAGCGTAGCCTATCGAAGCGCCCTAAGGTAATACGCCTATTACTACCGACCTCGTCGAGATCGACGAGGCTAAGCTTAATAGATAGGAAGTTATAAATTAAATCGCTAAGGCGGAGTAATAATAGGCTTAGGTATTATAAAAGCGCCTCCTCCTACTTAGAGGCGAAATGTCTAACCTCTATATCTTTAATAAGGAACTTACTAGAATCCGATCCTCTAAACGAGTAGCTTACTTTAAAGGTATTACCCTTCTACTAAGGCCGAGTATGTCTACCTCTATACTCGGCGCTAAGCCGACTAACCTAGATCGCTTCGTAAAAGGTTTAGTATAGATAATATACTATATTAGAAGCGAACCTAAAAGTAGGTTGTAGAAAGAGAGCTTGCTCGTACTCCGATATATAGGACTACGAGTCTACGTCGAAGCGTACGATAAAACTACCTACTAACTATAAAGATAGCTCTCTAAAGGAGTTTAGAGAATTTAAAATCCCTTATAAAGTCGCCTTCTTATAAGGGCGATTCTTAATAGGTACTAGTAAGGTTATATAGGCAATATAATACCTCGCTATAAATAACGAATCTAGAGAATGTGTTAAAACCTAACAGGTTTAGAAAGGGAAGAGAGCTTAGAGTGGAATCCACTCTAAGGTAATTCCCTAGTTAGGTAATTAGGATACTATAGCTAAAGGCACACACTTATTCTTAATATTCAGTTCTTAAGATAATTAATTCAATTAACACACTTGTTTAGTTCCTACTTTAAGTACTATGCACCTTATAATAAATTAGTTTAAGATTAGAGTCTCTTATCTTACCCTTTACCGCTATATCCTATTACCTCCCTAGCCTCTAGATTTAGATTTTTTAGTTAGACAATTTAATAGATTATAAGCCCGGGTTTTGCTAAACTAAAGGAAAGAACTTTAACCTTAAAGTAGTAAAGGTATTCCCTACCTTTTACTAGTATATAGAAAGGGGAAAGAGGATTTTAGATCCTCCTATACTACCCTATAAGAGATACTAAGGATTAGTATATAGATAAGCTAGGAAGAAAATCTAAAAGGATAAGGG